CTCCAACAGACGATGATAGACGTGACTCGCGTAATGAAACACGACGTAAGAATGAAATATGCTGTATAATTTTAATATTTTAACACTTAACATTTATCAGTATATATGATAAACATATATTTTAGTTATTTTAGTATGTATAGACAAGGCATGCAATGAACTAGTTTGTCGTGGATTGGATCAGCACCTGAAGATGGCACATTTGTGCTGAAACATGTAGTGAGAGTGAGAAGAGGGGATAGATGAATGTATGCACTAGAAGACGGATAAAATAAATCATGAAGTCTCTGATATACCAAGCAGGAACTTGATTAGCAGCAGTTCCAAAATGAGGAGACAATTTAGAACTAATGTAAACATGAATATGGAATAGCACGTCAAGGTGACACATCCTCTTATGAAAGGTGTGCAATTTTATTTACCTGTAAACCAGAAGCATAACTTAAATGGACATGGGGAAATAAAAGAGGTATAATCAAGCTTTGATCTAATTAGGGTAAAAAATTAATACAGACTGTGACAAGACATCTTAAAATCAGAATTCTGAGTCAGAGAAGTGTTGCAGAGGCATTTACTGTTACAACACACCAGCTTCTTAAAACACATTTTCATAACAATAAATGTGCATAAACAGTATCGGAGCTGTTGGGATCAGTGCTCTCTAATCAGTCCTTGATACAGCTATGTAAAGACAGCCAGCAAGGCCCAGAACCAGATTAGTTTCATGACTCCCAGTCATGAGAAAAAAATATATTTGTAATTCCCATAGGTCCTGGAAACAAGAATGACTGTACTGGAAAGGACAAGAGGCAATATACCTGACCTGACCTGACACAAAACCAGACCTGTCAAGAATGAAAACAGTAAGAACAGCTCTGATTATTAGAGTCTGAAACCTAGGAGGCATTTCAGGAATAAAAAGAAGGAATATCTGAAAGACAAAACTGATAAGCTCGCAACAAACAGTCAGTACAAGAACATTTAGAAACCTGTATAGAGGAAAAAATGACTTCAAGAAGGGATACCAACCTAGAAGTAACTTGGTGAAGGATGAGAATGGTGATCTGCTTGCAGATTCCCACAACATTTTGAACAGGTGGAAGAACTACTTCGTTATTGAATATACATGGGATCAGTGACGTTAGGCACACAGAAATACAAGTACATACAGCTGAGTTGTTAGTACCTGATCCTAGCCCTTCTGAGGGTGAAATTGCTCTTGCAAAACTGAAAAGGTATAAATCACCAGGTAGTCATCAAATTCCAAAAGAACTTGTTCAAGCAGGAGGTGAAATATTATGTTTAAGATCCATAAGCTAATTAATTCTATTTGGAATAAGGAAAAATTGCCTGATCAATGGAAGGAGTCCATTACTGTACCAGTTCACAAGAAGGGTGATAAAACTGACTGAAGTAATTATCTTGGGATATCACTGCTATCTACTTCATACAAAATTTCATCCAATATTCTTCTCTCAAGGTTAAGTCCACACATAGATGAAATTATTGGAATCATCAGTGTGGGTTTCGACATAACAGATCAACTACTGATCAAATCTTTTGCATTCGTCAGATATTGGAGAAAAAATGGGAGTACGATGAGACAGTAAATTTCAAGAAATCCTATAATTCGGTTAGGAGGGAAGTATTGTACAATATTCTGATAAGACTTTGGGATAACCATGAAACTAATCGGACTGATTAAAATGTGTTTAAACAAAACATATGGTAAAATCCGTGTAGGTAAATATTAGGCTCACAATTTTCCTATCCATAATGGTCTAAAACAAGGAGGTGCTTTATTGCCACTGCTTTACAACTTTGCTTTAGAATATGCCATTAGGAAGGTCCAGGAAAACCAGGTGGGACTGAACTTAAACAGGACACATCAACTGTTGGTCTATACCAATGATGTGAATCTACTGGGTGACAATATAGATACCATAAAGAGAAAAATGCAAACTTTAATTGATGCTAGTAAGGAGGTTGGTCTAGAAGTAAACACAAAGAAAACTAAGTACATGTTGCTAACTCGTCACTAAAATGCAGGAAAAATCATGACATAAAGATTGGTAACAGATGTCTTGAAAATGTGGCACAGTTCAGATATCTGGGAATGACTATAACAAATCAAAACCTGATTCAGGAGGAAATTAAGAGGAGATTGAACTTGGGTAATGCTTGCTACCATTCAATTCAGAACCTTTTGTTTTCTCGCCTGCTGTCTAAAATATAAAAATTAGAATATACAAAACTACAATTCTGCCTATGGTTCTGTATGGGTGTGAAACCTGGTCTCTTACATTAAGGGAGGAACATAGACTGAGGGTGTTTGAGAACAGGGTGTCGAGGAGAATATTTGGACCAAAGAGAGATGAAGTGACAGGAGGTTGGAGAAAACTGCATGGGGAGGAGCTTCATAACTGGTACTCTTCTCCAAGTATCATTAGAATGATCAAGTCAAGGGGGATGAGATTGGCAGGCCTTGTAGCACAAATGAGGGAGAGGACGAATGCACATAGTATATTGGTAGGAAAGCCAGAAGGAAAGTGACCAGTGGGAAGACCAAGACATAGTTGGTGGACAATATTAAAATTGATCTTAGATAGAATAGGATGGTATAGATTGGATTAATCTGGCTCAGGATAGGGATCAGTGGAGGGCTCTTGTGAGCATGGTTATGAACCTTCGGGTCCCATAAAATGCTGGGAAGTTCTTGAGTGGCTGCACAATTGGCAGTATCTCAAAATGGACTCAGCTCCATGAACAGAGTGAAGGCCAAAAAGGACATAAATTCAACAAGAAGTAAAAATGAAAAGACAGATAAATCTGTACATAATACACAAATAAAATAACAATTCTAGTTCATTTCATGACTCTGACAGAAGCATACAAACCTGCAGACTGTGACTTCATTATCTCCTTCTCAAGTCTAGCTTGCTGGGTAGCACACAGTCGAGTGATGTGTCGGCCGTATACTCGTCCTGTGTATGGTGAAACAAACTGTGAGAGAAGTTTCACATTCTTGTAGTCTGGCACAATCTTGTATCGGCACATAATGCACTGGGTCTTCTCTCTTACAAATGGGTTCTGCATGTCTTCTACAGGCTGCAATATAATTTACAATAGGATTAACATGGATTTCTAAACATAAGTTTTGTATCATTCTGTACAAAAATAACATATTACTGCATTAAGATCTGCATTAAACTTTAATCAGACAATTCTCATACAGATTCTAAAATTAGATTTTGTAGTTAGGTTAGAAAAGAGGGGTGCTGACTGGGAACCATGTTGGATGTAACCATAAGTGTTTGCCAACAGGCATGAATGCACGTGAGTTGAGTGGATTTGAAATATCACCAAATTGCAGGTGATTATGGTGAATACATGCAATCTGCCTTTTGCTTTTTTTGCAGCCTTCAAAATTAGCAGTGTAATAAAGTTCAGTAAAATCTTACTGCACTTGCAGAGTTGGCATTTTGAACAGAATCCTTGTCTGGGGTAAGTCAGTGGCATAATATGCTTATCTACCACAGGAGAAGAAACAGACTGTTCATTAGAGTGCTTACCAGAAAATGCTATTTTGTTATCTGCTTTCTTCATGCTAAAAACATGAGTGCTGCAGAAATCCATCGTCAATTATGTGCAATTTACGGCCAAAATGTAATGGATGAAGGAACTGTAAGACAATGGTGTAGAATGTTCAAAAATGGAATAACAAATGTTCATGATAAAAAGCGAAGTGATCGGTCACCTGTAGCGAGTGATGTTCTTTAATCAAAGTGTTCACCAAAAAATTTGTGAAAGATGGTGCTTCACAATTTCAGAACATTTGGGTGAATTTTCACAAATTGCACACGCGGTTCTTTATGAGATTTTCACAGTTAGGCTAGGCTCTCACAAGTTTTGCATAAGATAGGTTCTGATAATGCCCATATGTGCAGATAAAATGCAGAGAATGGCTTCAGCACTGCTGAAGCATTTCAAGTGGGAGTTGTCTGACCACCCCTGACAAAATATTTTGCCTTCTCGTTTGCTATCCAAAAACATAAAAATTAGAATATACAAAACTACAATTTTGCCTGTGGTTCTGTATGGGTGTGAAACTTGGTTTCTGACATTAAGGGAGGAACATAGACTGAGGGTGTTTGATAACAGGGTGTTGAGGAGAATATTTGGACCAAAGAGAGATGAAGTGACAGGAGGTTGGAGAAAACTGCATAATGAGGAGCTTTATAACTGGTACTCTTCTCCAAGTACCATTAGAACAATTAAGTCAAGGAGGATGAGGTGGGCAGGGCATGTAGCACGAATGGGGGAAAAGAGGAATGCATATAGGATATTGATGCGAAAGCCAGAAGAAACCACTGGGAAGATCGTGGTGTAAGTGGGATCTTAAGAGAGATAGGATGAGATGGTATTGATTGGATTCATCTGGCTCAGGATAGGGCCCTTGTGAAAATGGTAATGAACCCTCAGGTTCCATAAAATGCTCGGAAATTCTTGAGTTTGGCTTCTCCTCATGAAGCGCTCAGCTCCATAAGTTAAGTAAGTAAGTCAGTCAGTTGTCTGACCAACCTCCTGACAGCCCTGATCTTGTTCTGAGGGACTACTACCTGTTTATCTACTTGAAGAACTGGTTGGAAACATGGCGCTTCAACAGTAATGAGCAGATAAGGGAAGGTGTCAAAATGTGGCTGAGATCACAGGTGGCAGACTCTTTTTAACACAGGCACACAAAAATTTATTTCCTGACATGATAAGTGCTCAAATTCAGTCAGTGACTATGCTGAGAAATAGCTTAATTATGTACATATTTTTTGTATATAGTAATATTTTTCTCGCTGCTTGTTTTGTTAACAGCTCACCAGACGTTACCTTCCGAATAGCCCTCGTGCATTCCCTATTCTACATTGTATAGTTGCTTTTGTTTGTCTACCCCTACAAAATTTACATTCCTTTCTGCAGACTCCAATCACAAACTTGGAATATCCTAGCTTACCATATCTTTCATCCTGGCCTTCTGAATATCTTCAGTCAATTCTGACTGTGGCTCTTCTCTGCTTCTCCACACTTCTCCACCTCCTAAGGTTGCTAAGTTCCTTGACATCCCTTTTGAGTATGGAAGAAAACACCGCAGTTTTCCTGCAACATAATGTGACAAGGTGTGGGTAGATCTCTGCAAAAGAGTGACTAATGATTTACACTTTCTTTGCTCATATGACATTTAAATTCAGTTACTCCATTTACCAGCAATGTTAGTAGTTGTACTACAAAACTGAACAGAATTATTTTGCCTTGTACTTGGACATATTACATTTCTCCAAAACATCCAACTTCCATAATAGATTATATTAAATTATATAATGTGCTGTTTAGGTTTATACTGAATTTAAAAAGGTCCAATGTAAACTAATTTTGACAATGTCTGGTAGTAAAAGACATCAAGCAAGAGCATCTTAAAGAAATCGTGAAGTTGCTAAAAATTTTTCAGTAAAAAATGTAAATTTGTCTCTGTGCTTAAACAAAGCACAATGCCAGGAAAATGTACAAGCAACTAGTGGCATAGCAGTCTTAACCTCAGCATTAGAGAGAAGTGGTTACTTTCGCATTCCAGTCACTTTACATCTGACAGAAGAGGCATGGTACACATTGGACAGGAAGCTGCGTGGGCCTAGGGTTGGTCTGGGCATGGTTGTGAAGAAAAAATTCCTGCCCCTGCCAGGGATCAAACTCCAGTCATCCAGGCCACAGCCGACCAGCCATAAAATAAATGGACTGATTTTTTTTTGCCAACTCCATGTGGCCTTGGCAACAGCAAGCAGGGTGGCATATTAGCCTGTCCTTTCCTCTCCATCAACCCTATGACTTCCAAGGCCATACGGCCAACAGTGTGGTAGCAGCCTTTGTTTGAAGCGGACTGTGTATCTGAGCTCTGTTGGAATTATGTTAAGTGTTAAAGTAGAGCAACGCGTCAATGTGAAATTCCTCACAAACCTTGGAAAATCCCCTAAAGAAACACAGTTTGCTGATGGAAGTTGATGAAAATTTGTGCTGACATCCTTCAAAACACTGAAAATATTCCAAACTTTTTAGGAAATATAATAACTTGTGATGAATCATGTTTTTTTCAGTATGACCCAGAGCTGATCTGGATGTTACGGAGACAAGAAAAATCTCGACCCAATCAGGAGTAGAACCCCAACTCACCAGCTGTACAGCTTGCAGCCTAGTCACTATACTGACTGTGCTATAGTGCTATATTTAAATCAAGGTCACAAAGGGTTTTAAAACTTGATTTTGAAGGGGTAAACAAGAAATGAACAGAGCATTTGGTGAGAAAATACCTTGGCAAGCAGCAACTTGGAAGAGAATGAAGACTGAAATGCAAAATGGATTTTTGGGAAATCTACTGACACATGGAGTGTACTGGATTAGTTCACTGAAAAAGACAATAGTAAGCTTTTTCTCTTTTGCACTGCAAACATTTCAAGCTCCACCACATGCAGGGATCATGCAGAATCAAGGTTATGTACATGCTATTAAGGGTTCAATAAGAGATGCAAAACAATGGCACACAGGTGCCGTTGGCAACTTACCCAAACGTGGACACTTAAATTAAAATACTTACTTGACAACAACCGCAACATAGTTGACATCTTGCTCGCAGCCAACCTTGTTGAACTGGATCAGAACAAAAATTATTTAGGAGAGATCACTCATAAATTAAATTTTTTTTATTTAAACAACATAGTCAGTTAACTTCACAGACAACCTTTCTCCTCACGTCTGTTACTAACCTAACCAAATCGAACTACCTACGCGGGACCACACACACACGCCTCCAGCACCTACAACGCGCTCCATACCCTCCATACACCAATACATCGGTCACGGACGTCACTGACGTCACGGAACATCGAAATCGATCGAAATCGATCAGGTTCCGCTCCACTCACCTCCATTCGTCACGGCGTCACGGCGCTCTCGGCACAGGAAAAGGGGGAAAAGAGTTGCTCATTCCTTCAGCGTATTTGATTGTTGCTGCTTTTGTGCGCGGCGATAGAAAGAAGTGTACATTACCGTGCTGTGTGCGCGAAAGCTGTGCCAAATGGAATTAATACAGAGAATTTCGCCCTATTTTTAATGACTTAATGAGGGATGACAAAATTTTTAAAGCATTTGTATGTCAGATATAAAAGCTTTGATGATGGTACATTATTGCTGTACTAATGTACCATCGTTGGTACATTATGATTTGGACATTATCCACCATCATTTTGTCTTTTTCTAAAAACACTGGCCTGTTTATTTTTCAAAGTTCATTCAACTGTTCTGGTAGCACTCTGGTGCTAGGCCTCGTACATATGGAGTTTTTAAAGTTTGTCTTAACTTTCACAGATAGTTTGTGCTGTGCTTTATTTATATATCCTAGCCTGTGTTAGTCCAGGTATCTGGAGAGATGGCTTACTCTGTCAATTGGCTCCAACTGAGTAGGTTTTTCCTGAAGTCGGAGACGGAATACAGTCTCTGAAGCAGGAAAATGTGGCCTCCATTTTCAGGGTCAAGGAATAAGCCAAACCTGAAAGCAACATGTAGCAGGTAGCAAGCAGAGTGGCTGGTTTTTGCTTGGCTTATTCTTTGACCCTGAAGGTGGAGGCAATATGTTCATCTGAAACGTTGGCTAACCCTCAATGGACTACAGGGCATTAGATCCCAGATTACAGTTGTTCTTCATAACAACTGTAAGAACCTCAAATCCTGCACAGTACATTAATAGTTTTTGAAGCAGACTGATATGGCAATACTCACACTTGTACCCTGGAGGTGCTTGCTTTGAATCTTCGCTGGGACACTGGTTAGCCTCAGTTTTCCTCAGTCCTTCCAGGCAAATAACAAGATAATACCTCAACAGACCATGAACCTTTCGTTTCAACTTCTTTCCAGCTCATTATTCAGCATGTTGGAAACATGAACCCACCAGAAAAAGCAACATAGATTGTAATCATTTTATATATCTACAGGAAGGATATTTACTTTGTTGACTGGTTTCACGGCTCTGTGCTTCGCTGCGGCTGATGCACCACTTGGTGCTAGGCACATCCAAATTTTTCCCATTATGCATTTGCATGCCTGATGGCCAGTAACATTCGGAATGAAGGGAAGTTCACAGATCACCTGAGGTGTTTAAAATTTTGTCCTACAAGTAGACATTCTCACACTGACAGAAGAGGTTCTGATTTACCCTTTGAAACTGTTTTGCAGGAATATTTGCAGTTTCCCTATGGATGTTATATTTTAGCGTCCTGTTGCACTGATTTAAGTCCATGATCTATTTAATCCGTCTTGCAGTGCATACACTCATTTATCTCCTTCTCTCCCTCGCACTACATGTTTCGGCATAATAATGCCATCTTCAGGTGCTTACTTATCCACGTCAAACCAGTTCATTGCATGCCATGTTCTCACATTAAAATAACTAAAATATGTATCTATCATATACATTGTCAAACGTTAAAAATATTAAAATTGTTCAGGATACCACATCGCTACGTCGCCCCTCACTACGTCAGTCACGCCCATTCTCCTTTGTTGGAGCACTCCTTTACTGTCTTGTGTGTTGTGCTTTTGTTGTGTCGTGCTCCTGCGACTGCGTATGTTATACTGTTGGGCTTCCTGGGTATGTGTGTGTGTTCTGTCTTCCCTATGGATATTTTCTTTTAGGTCTTCTGTTCAGGAGCTACTGTTGCATTCTTTGTCCTTCAACTCCAGAACAAAGAATCACAAGGATTAACATCAAGTGAACATGCTGGCCAAATATCACTGTTGATAATTCTGTCCCCGAAGATATCAAAGCCTGCAGTGTGGGCAGTAGTTGAGTCTTGCTGAAACCAGCCAGAGTCTCTCTTCTTCTGTTAACTCTGGAAAGAAATGCCAGAGAATGACCTGTACACATCTTTTGAAATTAACTGTTTCAATAAAAAAACACAGAGATATTGGGATTTCGGACTTTATCCATCGTCCTGGTTTTAAGATAACTAAGAAAAACACAACGTTTCAGAAACTGGATCTTTTTCCGTCCTCAGGTGAGGGAAAAACCTATTCTGTTGGGTCCCTTAGAAAGAGCTAGTCTCAATCACTGTCCAGTGATTGAGTGTGAATAGGTGTTTTCCCTCACCTGAGGATGGAAACAGATCCAGTTTCTGAAACGTCGTGTTTTTCTTAGTTATCTTAAAACCAGGACGATGGCTAAAGTCCAAAAACCCAATATCTCTGTGTTATACCCCATCGTCAGAATCCTATAGTAAAAAACACAGGTCGAACAGTCTTTCTTGCACTTACAGCACACCAGACACCAAGTTTCACTGGATTGAGTGGGACTCGGTGGGTTAAATGTGAATTCTGTAAATTCCAGTAGCAATTATTTTACGTATTTATGAATCCCTGCAAGTGAAACCATACTTCATCATAGAAGAACGTCAATTGCAGGCAATCTCACTTTTGAGGACATACTTCAAAAATGAACCTGCTAGCTGGATTGCTCATCTGCAAGGCATAAATTACTGTTATTTTATAGGGCCTATGCTTCAGCAATTGTGGTGCCTTTCTTGCACTATACTTTGACATTCCAGTCTCTTGGGCTAGACATTTCAATTTTTTTTCTAGGTGTATGTTAAAAACAGGCTCCTATGTCGTCCAACATCTCCTCAGCAAGCACTCGGCGCTTATGGTTTTGTTTCTTCTCTGTTAAGAGTCCCATTGTTTTAAGTTTATTCACCAAATTGTGAATTGTTTGCTGATAATTGATAATTTATTTAACATCCATAACTGTTACACAGGCACAATTTGACAAGTCAGTTAAAAACAGCCAAACACTACATGTCAGCAACTCTTAAATATGTACAAAACCATATACAAAAAATGAATAATAAATCGCTTTTTGATCAGTAACCCCTTCCTGCAGCTTGCCAACCATGGATGACAACCGCTTGCTGTACCTTGCCAACCATGAATGACAACTCTCAGCAATTCAGTATAAAGCAATAAATACATTCAAACCACCAAAAACACAAGTCAGCCATGAAAAACATAGCATCATATGTTGAGTGAAAATTAAAGTCCAAAGACCAACTATTATATACTTCTATGTCATATCAAGACTAACTTGAGTTACCAAACTACCATCTATCATTCTTACTAAAAACAGTTTTGTAATAAATAACTGTTTAATTTATTTTTAAACGCTTTAAAAGTTCCTATTCTTTTTAATTCAGAGGGTAAGTTGTTATGTATTTGTATTCCCACGTTATTTATTTATTTTTGATGAGCAGTGTTGCATAACTGGACACACAAATCGGATTCCCTTTTGTGTTATAATTATGAATATCGTAATATTGAGTTTTATAGACCTTAGTCTTTCTTAAAAAGCACAAGATCTCAAATATATACAGGATGTTTCAAAAAGAACTTTACAACTTTGAAAGCTTATATAAATTTATACAGAGGACATACACAACGTTTTGAACTGTCATAGTATAGCAAAACACACCGAGTTTTACCTCGGATAGTTATGGTTCAATGTGACTTCCATTGGTAATGCGGCAGATGTCCCACCTGTATCACGTACTACATAGTATCTCTGACATCACTTCTGCAACTGAGGCACTAATTTGAGTTCGGAGCTCAACGACATTTGCAGGCAAAGGTGGTACGAACACTCGATCTTTAACGAATCCCCATAAGAAAAAATCCAGGGGAGTAAGATCTGGAGAACGAGGTGGCCATGCTATTGGCACCCTCACCACTTTGTTCATTGTCACCCCAAAGAATGTCATCTTGCGTTCCATCTTTCACATTAGACAAACAGCGCTTAAAAAAATTGAAATAATACTGACTGGCATTTCTTTCCAAGCTTTCGGTATCCACTCCACTATTACTGACAGTGATGGTCTTTTTATTTTGCGACCAGGTGTTGATATATGACTGCCTTTATTCAGCCAGGCATCATAGTGTTTACAGACAAGATGACTAAATGCTTTGTTAACTGACACATCAAGTGGTTGTAATCAGGGGCGGCCCGTGTATAGGCACTGCGGAACTGCAGCACCCCCAATTTCCACATGATATTATCGATAACATTTATATAATGAGTCCTTTTTTCTTTAATTCTTTCTTTATACTTGTACAATGCACTACATAACCCTTAAGCTTAATGTCAGTAGCCAAATCTTTGTATGGAACTGTGTGCTTCTGTAGCAGCACCCCCACTAATTTTAGCTATGAGCCGCCACTGGTTGTAATTGACTTGTCATGCAACTTTGAATTATCACTAGATCAGTGTTTTTGTTTCTTAACCTATTTACACACCAGACCAGCCGTCTTATACCCATTCTGGTCAGTCTTCCATTAACTCTGACGTCATGAACTATCAAATCTTTGGAAAAACTCTCTTTTGGCACTGTCTTTCTTTTTAATACGTATTACGTATGGTGGTAATATATTGTCATTTGCTGTTATATGCAGCGCGACAGTAACACATAACTTTCCATAACCTGTCATTTTCATTGCCACTTATTTTTCATTTTTTAAATTTATGGTACAATTCTGAGGCATGTTGGAAGAACCTACAGTTTTGCCTGCATTGCTGATTTGATATCAAGAATACTTATTCCTTCAGAGCAGTACAATAACAAAATGCTGAAATTCAATCAGTTTAGTTTCAAATTCTGAAGGCTGATTTTCATCCTTCATTGTAATGATAAGCTCTCTTCATAAACTTTTTACACCATTCACGACTAGCCTTGAAAGTTACTGTGGTATGTCAGTTCTTGTACCAGGAGAGACAACCACGTAAATTTCTATAACAGATATTTATTGCTGTTAGAAGAAGTGTATACAGATGAGCAGGCAAGCAGAGTGTGCAGTAATCGATGAGGTATTGTGGGGCCCTTTTCAGGGCCATAACTCTAAGGCAGGGTGCACCTTATGAATGCTGCCAAAGCTGCAGCTGTAAATAGGCTGGCTTATGCTAGCAGCAGCAGTCTTCCTTGCATCAGCAGCCAGGTGACTGTGAGCCAGCTGTAGGGAAGTTAAGTGCTGGCAGGGGACTTCCCAGTGGGTCTAGGTGACCGATCTCAGAGTTGGTTGACAGTGTTGCTGTTAGGAGAGACACTGTTGCTGTGTGAGCTTAGGATGAGCTGTCTCGAGGTCTCGACTGACCCAACTAGCATAATGTGGTCTGCATCTTTATTTGCTGCTGCTAGCAGTGCCCAGCCCAAAGGAGGTAGGTGTTACTGTGGTCCACGCCAATTGGATAGCATTGTGGAGGGCTTCCACAGTATATTAGTGTTTCCAGCACATTCTTTTGCTTTTGAAATTAAGGCTTCCATAGTTACAGGTAATCTTTTTTTTTTTTTTTGTGTAAATCTCTGAAGTATTCTAAAACAGAGGAATCAAATTTTGCACCTTGAAAGTTGACACACTGGGCATTGTCCTGTCATATGATTAAGCTGTGTCCCATGTGCTTACGAGAAGAAAGAATAAGTACCAGACATTATGTGACTGAAGTGTAAAGTAAGAACTGTATATAAATTTTGCTTCTGTATTTACCACAGTCCTCTTTGAGGACTACCACCTTATCGTGGAGAGGTTTCTCTGTCCCAATGACCCAGAGAGATATGCTGGAGGGAGCATAAATTCCTGGCAGAGTCACCCATGCCAGACAGATCAAAGGGTAGGCACCAGATGAAGTCAATCTCTGGTTTCCCACGTTGGGGGGTTGGCATAGTGGTATAACCCCCTCACTCTGGAAACGTTTACTATTATGAAACTATGGAGGAGGTCAACACCCACACAGAGTTGTAGCTCTAGTAAAGAGGAAAATATGAGTTACCATACTACAGGGGTTGCACCATAGCTCAAGCAGTTAGTTGCTGCCTTCCCACTGTGGTGGCATGGGTTGAATCGTGAGTCTGGTCAAGTGGGACTTGTGGTGGACAAAGTGGTGCTGGGGCAGGTTTTCTCCAAGTACTTCGGTTTCCCCTGCCATTTCTTCATTGCTCCACAATCACCCTCACCTATCATCTGGGGCTGGCACAATAGGCCAGAAATGGTCGCAGTACAAGGGACTTAGTCCCATCCCACTAGCAGTAAAAAATAATAATAATAATAAATAATACCATATTACAGTACACTCTAAATTAGAATTCAATCACAATGTGGGAAGAACACTTTCAGAAATGTAAGTGCTATCAATTTTGATTTATACACTCATACACAATTTTTCCCCCTTTTAAGGAATCTACAAATACTGTTGCAAAATCAATTTTACAAAAGCTAAGGGGGAGGGGGCACAGAATTTGGAAATGTATTCTCGTTTAAATATTTTTTAATAGAATATTTGAAGAGGTGTAATCCCAAAGATATGTACAGTTCTTCAGTACTCAATTTACTCTACTGACAAATTTGTCGAGCATTCAAGGGGCTCAAATATTAAGAGTGATTAATTGGTCTGTGTTCTTGTATTATATGTTGTTGAGACTCACGTGTTGTGTGGCAGTATGTATGATAACTGTGGTTATGTATTTTGTAATATGTTACAATGAAACTGTATTGATGATATGGCTGGCCAATGTACGTGTAATGGCAGGGAGTGCAATTGTGCCACATATAGTTATTATGGTTGGAAAGAACGTGACTGTGGTGTTTCCACAGCCTATGTGGGATGTCTTGCACTGTCTGTGTGAGGCCTGATTATTTACTATATTGGACCAAGGACATATGATGTGTGGTCATCATGAATTTGTAACGTATGACATGTTTTATATCCAGCCCTTTGGGGAGGCAATTGAATTGATGAGAATGTAAATATAAACTAATATTTGAGTTGTTTCATTCTGGTCCGTCACACTAACAGCATTATAAAAGATAAAACAATTCTGTCCAATGTGACTGGTGAAGTTTTTCTTATTTCAGTTCTTAATACCCTGACATGTTTCGGTCCTTAGAGACCATCATCAGAGGGACATCGATACAGTTTGCAAACCACTACTACAATGGGTGTTCTGATGTTAAAATATATAGACATACAGTGTTTACAATGCACAAATAGATACAAAATCCAAAGTTTTCACAACTACAGTGGCTGTCTTGATATATTAAATTTTTTTAAAACTTTTGTTATTTAAGTTAGAATTTATAAACCACATAGGTTTGTGTCCTCTCTCTTATCACCTCTCTTGACGGGGGCCGAACTTGTGCTGCCTGTCTTTCTTGAGGAGGAGGTACTTTGACGTTGTTCTGTGGTTGTTCGTGGCACGCTGTGTTGTTTTTATTGAAATAAGAAAAACTTCACCAGTCACACTGGACAGAATTGTTTTATCTTTTATAGTAAACTAATATTATTACCAATTAAAACCTCCAAGCAAAAATCTGGCTGCTAAACCCTGCACTTAAAGCCCTTAGTCCTGTAAGATAAAGATAAAGACATTGAATTTCACAACCACAGCACCACAACTGGTCTCTGGGTTAGAGCATGGGTAAGTACCCACTTAAATACAGCTTTGTATTTTAGATGTGAATGGTGTCTATGGATGTGCCCATTGACAGAGTGTGCAAATAAAGGGTTGAGTGATCTGTTCTGCTGATAAACAATGCTTCCTTTACACAGGAAAATGCAGCCCCCACTACACAACCACCAGTACACCTTCCATACTACATATGCAGAAACCCACTAACAATTGGAGAGAATCATATTGTTTGTAACTGGAAAAACTGCAAGGAAAGGGCAATTTTATAATTATTTAATTATTTCATCATTAATTCTCATTTTCTCATGTTATTCACTCATTCCTATTAGCATGGAGGAACAGAATCTAATTTCATAATACAGCATATTTAAAAATACACCAATCATTCTAGATCAATTTCACAACATTACATCTTGAAATGACAGACATCATCTTACCTACTGTGAGAACTGACTTCACAGTTTCCAATTTATTCCACTGTGAAAGTTAATATATTTTTAAGAAAATTGTTATAAGAAACAGCTAGATTGAGGTGAATGACAGCTTCATTTTTGGCACCAAGAAGGAAAAAGGCTGGTGTCCACTGACTATGAAGTTGAGTGATCTCCTTTGCCACTCTGGACATAACATTAAATAGAATAATGCTCACTGCTATCACAGCAATATGACAATAATCCAAGGCCTCTTGTAATGAGAAAAACTTATGAAATATTGTGGACTGTCACAATCTCTCTGAGTCTCCTGTTCCTGCTTGTTATTAACATTTTAAATCACTGAGAATGATATATTTCTGTATCTTGTTTATCAGCTGCTGCAGCACTGGGAATATGCACCACACAAGCCCTTGCGTTTCGGAACTCGAAGCTCCAGCCATTGCTCCTGATTTGGAACAAACATCTCAGCTGGCATTGTATCCAGCCCTCCTGAGTGGATGGAGCCTCGAGGAGAGTCTTTGTCTTCTGAAAACAAAGGATGTTCTTTTTACTATACCACAGAGCAAGGCATAAATATCCAAGAGCAATGTTCTTGGAATTATGGGATTTTTGGACTTTGTCCATCATTCGGTATTCTGAAAAACTAGAGAATGCAATATTTCAGAAACTAGATCTGCTTCCATCTTCAGGTGAGGCGGTAAGACACCTACTCTGTAGGTTCCCTTAGAAAAGGTAACCTCAATTACTGGACATTCTTTTATTGGAATACTAACAGATGACAATCAGGTAAGTATTCTGAGGGGGCCCTACAGCTTAAAATGAACTGTGAGGGATGGAGAAGACATTCACAAATATTTCCAAACTGAGACTGCTTGCACAGCAATCCAGTACCACCAATCATGAAACCACTGCGTCATACATTTCCTAAAACAGTTTCATAATGAATCATCATTTATACACAGAACCGTGATTTTTCATCCTTCACTGTTCGTTATTTCAGTAAGGAAACCATCCCGATGGGAGTCATAATTCTGTTCTTCACAAAGTTAATACTGCATATATTTATAAGTAAGAAAACCCAAAATATAAAATAATCATTCCTACTGAAAATTTTTGAAGCAAAAATGATTTTATTTCTCCTCCAGATGAAATTCTAGCTGCAATTCTCTGGCATAAACATTAGAAGTGCCCCCCCCCACCCCCCAATTTGCTTTAGTGGTCTATCTGAGGGTCCAGAGAATACTTTTGTCTCAAAACATGAACCTGGTAACAGTTCTTCTTTGTCCTTCCTTCATTGCCATGCATTGGTCCTGGAAATATTGTATTTCCTGACTGAGATGCAATTATAAGCAGAAAATAAAAACTTATGCCACCTATCCTGAAATCTTTTCAGTCTACCAAATATAACTAACAAAAATAAAGAAAATATTTCTGCAATGCATTTAGTATCACATATTTTTATCCATTTTAAAATTACAGAAAATAACTATAAAAGAGTGCAGTATAATGTGTCCAATGCTCCAAGTTACTAATAATGTTTTGAATCATCACATTCATTATGTACATTCTCTCTTCAGCTGGAATCATCATTAGTTGACAAACAGTCATAGAATTAGGCCACGGTTAACAGAATGGTAAGCATTATTTTAGAAATATTTGTGCAAAACTGTCACAATTTTGAAAAACAGAAAGACACATGCAGACACTAAAAAAATATTATTTATTTCTCTATTACATAACTAGATAATATATCCAGGCTTTACACTGATATCAGAATGACTGTCTACTGCTGAATTTAAATAAAAGAAGAAGCTGAAAGAGGACATATTCAAGTTTCCTTAGAAATGCCAAAAATGCTTGCGATACTTCATGGAGACATGAGTTTTTATAAATATCATAGTTGTCAGATGTCTATTTCATTAGATATAAATGAATCATAGTTCCTTATGCTTTCTTCTTTGTCATAACAATCAGATGACCCCTATTCTTGAATCAAAATAAAATTTGGAAAAAGAAAAAAAAAGAGCCTCCTCTTACAGTTAAGTAAATATGATAATTAGCAGAGATATTACACTTCAGAAAAGTGTAAATTTCAAATTTTTTAGATGAAATTGAGAAAAATTCTCAATCTCAATTTGAACATCAATTTTTCATTCTTGAACCATAAAATTTTTCTGATTGCTGTTTCTGCTTTGCATATCACATCAAAACTGATCAGAACTGTATTTACCCAAATGGAAAATTAGTTCCCCCCCTTTTAGGGGTTACAAATATGAGTCATCATCATGAATTTGAATGACAGTATATATATATATAAAGTGCTCTAATCCATTTAAGCATTTACCATGTTCATAGCACAGATGACATCAGAGAACACTAGTGGTATCCATTATTGTACCATGTATGAATAGCAAACAATAAAGTGGAAGACATATATATTTAAGGTCAGAAGCCTTGAGATTGTCTGAAGTACCACTAAAGTTATGAAACACAAGCAGTAAATCACCATTTTACAGTGTCAAGAGATTCTGCACTAATGCAAGTGTCACACTCATAAAAATGGCAGGGAACAACAAAGAAAGACATATTAGTGTGAAAGGGAGTTACGTGTCAAACAGTATTGGGTGCTACAGTTATGGTGTGTATTGTCACGATTATATGGTGTGTAACAATAGACAGGTTCTGGATTGATGACAAGATTTATTGGACTCCTTGACACACACACACACACACTAGTGTCCATATTCATCACTTCACTAGCTGTTCCTTGATAGCGATTTTCAATCGAAGACATTTTCTTTCCTCTGGATTCCCGAATGGTCCCCAGCCCCAGCTACCAGCTTCTAACAGCAGCAACTCACAATGACTGAACCCCAGCAGTCTTCTAACTCACTCACTAACTCACCAACCAACTGCTCACTAACTTGTCCTACTCATAACGTCTTGACATGGACCACAGAGAAAACACCTTTTCTCTGTTGCTGTTTATGGGCCACTGCCTAGTAGCAGTCATGGTATAGTTGATTACTTTGCAGCCGTTGCCTAACAATGAGTCTACATGCCACAGTATTTTAAGACTATGACAATTAAACATGAAGAACAAACACGACATGTCAAGAAAATACTGTATCTTCCATGGCAAACATTCAAAGGTGGAAACAATGCAAACCAGAATTGAATTCTATGCAAAAATTATAGTCTGTACGAATTCAAAGAGAGAATGAAATGTCAGTCTTGTGCAACATAATTACAAAAGAGGCTGACAATTTAATTCAGCCTCAAGGTGGTGTGTACAAATGGCATGAAGGAACAGGTTTTCTTTAGAGCAAAGATCTTCACTTTGAAAAAAGTTACCACCATACTTCAAGCCATTGTCAATAAAATGCCAGTGTATTCTGATATGCCGTCAAATTACACAATCAATTATGCAGGTGTGAAATCTGCCATCATAAGAACATAAAGCAATGAAAACCTGAGACTTTAATATTAACAAGTTGGCAGACAGCACTAAACTGGAACCATGTGTGTGACAGCAGTGGCCGTGCCATAGCTCAAGCGGTTAGTCGCTGGCTTCCCACTGTGGCAGCCCGGGTTCAATCCCAGGTCTGGGCAAGTGGGATTTGTAGTGGACAAAGTGGTGCTAGGGCGGGTTTCCTCCGAGTACTTCGGTTTCCCCTGCCAATCTTCATTCCACCAAATTCTCCATTTTCATAATCTCCTGGAGCAGGCTACAATAGGCCAATCAGTGACCGAGTGGACCCAATTGGGCTCCACCCCCACTCAGTGAATTTAATTTTTAATTTAATGTGTGACAGCAGCTGCCACTGAGGGAGCAATGTGACATGACAGCTGAAAACCGATATATTTGAATGAGTAGTGGTATAGCCATTTGTAGTTACAAATTATTAAGTGTTCAATAAATCAAATTATCAATCCAAACCCCATGTCTAGTCACTAAGATGTGAAAATACTACATTCAAGTTATGCAGTTTGTGTCATGAACAAAAAGTTGGTTTTTTTCCTATACAGAACTTGACAGTTTTTAATAATTACATTTTATTGCACTGAGCAGAGCTGAGTTAACCCATGGAAATACTGAATGAGGACAAATGACCTTACCAGTCTTGCCTTTACTAGCAGAGATGGGGGATACCATAGCGATAGGTTCTCCTGGATGACGAAGTAGCAAACGTCCCACCCCCTCACATCTTCGCAGGACCTCACTGTGTGCCAAGTGGTTCCGCACTTCTGTCTGCAACCATGGACATCCTTCCAGCCAGTCTGGCACTGAGCCAAAGTCCACCAAAAGCTGCAGTGCACCCCATTCACTGCAGCACATAAACACAGAGAATCATAAAAAATTCAGCACATTTCAAGCCATTACCATGCATTAGAATTACGCATGAATGCATGCATGTACTCATGTGTATGTGAGCGCACCTGCCCCTCACCCATCCACCCATGCATGCGCGTGCACATACACATAGAAATATATGCATATACATTTTATGCAACCAGATTTATCATAAACTCACACTGGAAGTAAAAAAGCCAGAAACAAGAATGTAAGAACCTTCACGTATACAGATGATGTTATGTTAAAGAAGAATAATGAAGAAAGACTGAAAATTAACTCAACAAAAGTAGAAAGTTAAGAAAAATCCAATTTACAAATAATTTTTGCTATGAATATAAACACCACGATTGGCTGAGAAGATAGACATGCAGGATAATAAATGTAATGACAGCATTTTAGACGAAGAATGAAATTTTCGTTTTTGGTAGTAAAATATCATAAAGCAGAAAAATTTAATCAGATATTACTAAAAAATTTACAGACTCAGAAAAATTTACCTGATTGCAGATGTGAAACTGCAGAGAAGATAAGTGTTATGTGTCTTTTATCTCTATTTTCATTTTCATAGATCCTTACTGGCTACCAAAGCCATCAGATATAGAACATGTCACAATTTACATATATTAGTTCTGAGAAGAGAAACTAGTCGTCTTTCAGCTATATTCATAAAAGGAACCATAATTATACAATTCAATAATTTAATAATTTAACCAACATGTACAATTCATCGACTAGACATTAATACCTTCTTAAGCTAATTTCTTGAAAATACATTGTCACGTGTTGGGTATATAACGCAACAAATAACTTCACACCATCTTGGATCTAGTGAATTTATTGAACATTCGCTCTTACAATTACACAATTCACAATTTCCCAATTACTGCCATCTGCAGTATCACACTTACTGCTTACATTCACTCCGGTGAATGCTAGACTGCAACTGACTGGTTACTCTCTCTCAAAGTCGCTCGCAGCCAAAAAGGAAGGACACATCACAGACACAGTACACACAGAAACGACTCCCATAGTGGACGAACCATACTATACGCGAGTTTGAATTAAGACATATAGGTGAATAATCTTAACAAGTTTCAGTATCTACAAATTTTATTATAGTTGATGAATAATGTACTTTCTAAATCATTTTATGAAAGACACAAGATGGCAAACAATGTAATAGCTTAGCGTAAATAACGAACCTGAAGATGGCACTATGTTGCTGAAACATGTAGTAAGAAGCAACATATGAAATTGAGTGCACTACAAGACGGCCATTACCTATGTATCATGGATGAAAATCAGTGCAACAGGACGCAAAAATACAACATAACCTCTGCATATTAATTTTTTTTTATAATCCTGTATTCTTAACTTCATTGATCTAACAATTGCTATAAAAGTGAAAGTTAAATGAAAGTTACTGCAATGATACCATGTTCCTGTTTACATTTTACAAAAGAGAATTACCATGAAAAGAGTTGCAAAATGTTTTTAAGCTGTTTTACCATACATTTCAGAACCTTATGTTATTACATTCCCTACTGGAGGATATACAGCAGAATGGAAAAGGCGTTTTCAGGGAAGATCAAACCAGCCAACAACTGGAGACAAAGTACTCTTATCAAAAAAAGCTGTCATTTGACCTTTCTTCACAAGTCCCCATAATGTGCATCTTAAATATCACTGGGTGACTCCTCATTCAATGTAACCACCATATTTATATAACTATAAGAAGAGTTGTTTTTGTTTTCATTTTTATTCAAAACTAGGGAGTTGGTTTACTACTTAAATTATAAAAAATGCTTAAGAGAAGGCATGTGTGGAAAGACAGACATCTGGTAACTGTGACATAGAGTAAGTCCTAGTTAATGGGGGGCACATGGTAGCATAATTGGTTGAGGCACTATGCTACAAGTCGGAAGGTCATCGGTTCAAGTCCTGGTGAGGTGGAATTTTTCAATTTACCTAAGCCTTCCAGCTGCACTATGGCCCTGGGGTCAACTCAGCCTCTAACAGAAATGAGTACAAATTGTTACAAACTGTACATGATTCCAATTTTAAACTAAAGGTTATTGGGCTAATACATGTAATTATGTGGAATTCAAGAAATATACTATTTCCGAGGCTTGCATATGGAAAAAGTGCAAAATACAAAGCAAATTTAGAAGGTGAAAGTTTTATCAGAAAATAGTACTTGTATATGGGGGAAAAGTGTTGTTTACCTGGATAAGTAATAGGATTTTTTCCCAATTTTCCACTGTGAAGACAGTTTATCTTACAGCTCAGAAAAAATGGCAAGTAACTTCTTGGTTCAGGGTCTGTCTTCCTTCAGTCTCCTTTTCTGAGTGATATGCATACCTGAACTTTATGCGATGCATATAAATATGATCAAGCCACGCTTCACAAAGCAATCTCAAAACTGTTGTACCAATATTCTGTTGCACTGGAGTGGGAAGTGATGACACTGCCATAAGAACCGGACGGAGCACACGATCTGCAAAAAGCAAACATAGGTTTATAGGCTGACACAATTTATTTATTTTTGGGGGGTGAGGGGATGTAATATGTGAAATGACAAGGTAACTATGAAAGTTTTATTATTCTCTGGTATATTACATTATGCTGGTCACAGCAGCCGAGCGGTCTAAAACATATACTGTCTTCGCTCACTTGGAAACCGGGATCGTGGGTTCGAATCCAACTCAGGACATGGATGTTTAGTTTATGTGTGTGCGTTTTTCTGCATTTGTGTACAGGTAGAAGCCTTGAACCGAGCTGATCGCCTGCCCAAGGAGTCCTGCCAAATGTGTAAGATCTAGAAAACCCGAAGAGAACGGAGAAGTTAATGGAGGTAGGCCTAGGCCCACTGGGGCTGTACTGCCAAGGAAAAAAAAAATTACATTACATGATTTAAGTTTAAAAATGTAACACAACTGAGACCCTTACCATGAATTTTGTGTTGGCCTTCCATTACAAAGACAGTGTCACATGTTGGGCATGTCACGCGACAAGTAACTTTACATGGGTCTCGGATTTAGCGAATCTTTATTGGACACTCACTCTTATACACCTTACAATTATCACCACCTGAAGTGTCACTTGACTTCTGGCCAAATACTCCAATGCGACGTCTCAACTATCCTTGGCCGTGGTTGGATATCAACTGTCTCTGGCGGTGGCTATCCCAAGATTGTCTTCTTCTCAATATTCCAGTATTCTAATCTTCCATCCAAGGGCCAGGCCCTTTATATAAGGCGCACATGGACTAAATAGAGGACACCCCTCGCCAAGGTTCGTTCTCACGTGTTCGGCAATCCATTGCTTCGGGAACGCTCCCTATAGATTACACCAGTAACATGTCTCGTCTCATCCGTTGTTACTCAACGACAATTTGTTGCTACGATTTTGACAGTCACGTTGTCACGTAACGGGCGCAACAAACTCTCTGTAGTTCATCTCTGGGGAGACGCGTTCGTTGCTTCAGCATTCTCTACACAACAGCTCACTGTTATTGCACTGCCATGGAAGTACCTACTCCAAACACGTTACAATAGTATGGGCACATATGTTTCCATGGGCCATGACTGTTAACCTTAGAGAAAGTATTTCTGCACTTGCGCACAGGATTTAGCAACCTCTGCTATTACACACCAGAAAATATTGTAGATTCTAAAGGGTTCTGATGGCTGTGTATAACACTCAGAATTACTAGGTTTTGGACTTTTTTCATGGCCTGGTATTCTGTAAAACTGAAAACATGATGTTTTGGAAACTGGATCTGGTTGAGTGATTGAGGTTAGCTCTTTCTATGGGATCCAACTGAGTAGGTGTCTTGGCCCCCCCCATCACCACCACCTCACCTGAGGACAGAAGCAGAATACTGGACAATGGAAAAGTCCAAAAACTCAGTAATTCTGAGAAAATATTGTGTATTCATATGCACTTTTCATGTTCATTAGGCACTGGAAAATGTAATGATAATGAAGAGCATGAGGAACTTTAAGCCATTCAATTGCTCAAGCAAAGGCTACTTCACCCATAGAAATATCATGACTCAAGTCCAATGCTGTGATCGAACATGTTATAAAGAGTTATATCACTATTACAGTGTTGAACAACAATATTTTTAAGGTTTACATGGCAGATTTTGACATTTAAACTTGCAGTGATAAGTGAAATTATGAAGCTCACACACATAGTTCTGAATGCAAGGACTAGGAATGCTGGGTAATTTCACAAACTTACAATATTGCCAAACAGACCTCACTGGTGTATGCACTGTTACTTCTGTTTATCAGATGGAGGTAAGTAATAAAATTCAACAGGCTTTCACTTACAAATAAAAATTTAAAATTTAAAATGTTTTTGCAGTAAGGATTTTACAATAACTTGTCAGCAATGCATACATACATACTGCCTGCTTCTTGCTGGTGTATTGTTTGGCTCACTGTTTCATATTAAAGACAGAGGCACTAAGTTCCTCTGAAACAATGGTGAACTTCTAGTGGAGGACATGGCACTACACCCCAAGTGACAGTACTATTTAAATTGTTCCAAACAGTAATACATCAAATCTTTAGAACAACAAAAAACAAAATATGATATGCCCAAAAAAATGTTTTATGCATCATGGCAATCTGGTACTAGCAAGTTATTAAGCCTTGTTCCCATATGTATGGATTAACTTACAACTCACCAAGATATTCTTGAACATATGGACTAGCAGGTTTAGGAGGTGCACCAGACGAGTGTCTCCAATAGTGTGGTTTGGGGAAGCACATGTGCAGGTTGGCAAGACTGATGGTGCGGCAAACAGTTGCCATGCCCTGGATGCATTCATCTGGCAGCAGCTGCTGGGAGCAACACAAGCCTGCAGTTCAGGAACACATCAGCTCTCACCCATAACACCTTCATGGTAAGAAGGCTCTGTGACACATTAGTGAGCAGGAAAGAATGGAACGGATATATACACCACACCTGATTTCAAAGTCTGTAGTTCATCTATTTTCTGACAGATCTCATTCATTGATATCTTGATGATGGGTGACACATCATTATGGAAAACAAATAACTACTGTATCACAAATCACAGACACAAAGGAAACAGAAATTTAAGGGACTAAAGTTGCTTCACCATTCTGAGGATTATGGCTGCCAGGTTAGCATGCTTCCCTGCACAGAGGGTGTGTTTCATGAGACATCAACTGACTAACTGTTTATGTTCCTCAGTGATCAGGGAATGGTGCATGTGGAATTCATCCTCCAGGGACAAACTGTGGGCCAACTACTTAGCTGTTCTGTGGCATTTATGGGAAGATGTGGAGGAAACATCTCAATTACCAGCATACTGCAGATTGGTTTTTCTACCATATTAATGCTGATACATAGGTTATCCAGAAAGTAAGTTCTGATGGGCTATTGAAAAAAAAAAACCTATTTGCAAACCACTTATATCGCCATTTGACGTACATACCGCATGCTACTTTTCAACATAGTTTCCACCATTGTTGAGGCACCACTTTTTGTATCCCTACATCATAGAATGATTCCACCTGCGATAGAAACCATGTGTTAATGGCTTCTTTAACCTCATTGTTGTCATGGAACCACTGACAACCAAGGAAAGTTTTCAGATAATGGAACACATGAAAATCACTTGGTGCTAAGTCTGGGCTGCAGGGAGATGATCGAACTGTTCCCAGCCAAATGTCACAATGAGATCTTGCGTTGCAGTGGCAGTGTGTAGGCAGGCATTGTCATGAAGCATTACAACACCCCAACTAAGCATGCCACAATAGACACTTGCGTTGATTGTTGAGCCCTGAGGCAAGAATTCCTTGAGCAAAATGCTTTTTCTGTCCCAAAACACTGTGCACATGATCTTGTGAGTTGAAATGGTCTGTTTGAATTTTTTCTTTATTGGCGATGATGTGTGCCTCCATTCCCTGGACTGCTCCTTCGATTCAGGGGTTACATGTGACACGCATGTCTCGTCCCCTGTGACTGTGCGGCTCAAGAAGTCATTGCCTTGCTCACTGTATCGTGTCAGAAAGGTCAACGCACTGGCCTGCCATTTCTTTTTGTGTTCATCTGTAAGCATCTTCAGCACCCAGCATGAGTACAATTTCTGATAACAAAGTTATCAGACACAATTTCGTGAAGAGGTGACCGTGAAATTTGTGGAAAATCCAGGGAAAGTGAGAAAATGGTGAATCATCTGTTCTCTTCAATCCTCTCTTCCACTGCACACACCAAATCTTCATTAACCACAGATGGTCGGCCGCTCCGCAGATCATCATGCACATTTTCGCATCCTTCATTGAAGTGTCTCACCCATCTCCTTACCACTGAATCACTCATGACATGTTCTCCAGACACCTCAAAAGTTGACGATGAATGTCAGCTGCTTTCATGTTTCTTGCATTCAAGAAACGGATTACAGACCACATTTCACATGTGGCAGACTTCTCGATTTTCTTGAACATTGTAAACACACATGACAAAACGTAAACGAGGTTTGATTGTCTGCAAATGGCATCTGTGCCTTCCAAAAGGACCAACAAACTCTGCATGCATGCGCACCATGGTGACCGCAGTGCTGCAGCGGCAATATTTGTAAACGGAACTCATTCTGTGGATACACCTCATATTACTCTGCTTTGTTTGTGCATGGATATCTGGATAAAATGATCAACAGTTTTCCTGCACCCTATGTACTTCCCATATACAAAACTGTGAGATTCTTTTTCTTTTCTGAAACTCAAGTTGGCACTGAATGTGAATAGATTTGAGGCCCTCATAAGCTGCAATTGCACATTTCAAAACAGAACTTCTGCAGATGCTTTAACAACTGCAAAATCAATATACTTCCTGCAGCAAGTGAGAAGAATAGTACTTCAACAGGGAAAGAATGGAATACAGGTTAAACTCAATTATCACAGAGAAAAAATTTGATGCTGAACTTACTTCATCACAGCAAATACACTATGGTACGAGATTATGATGACAATGACAGTGATGAAAACAAGAACATTCAACTCACCTTCAACTTGCGGATATTATCACGGATCTCAGAGGTTAGTTTTGAACGCATCTTGGCACACACCATCACGTGTTCACTATGCATCTCAGAAAATCCTTTGTGATCTGTAAGCTAAAAAACATGAGAGGAAAATTATACTCATGTGGAAGAAACATATTTTCCAAATATATTCTTTGTGATTTGCACCTGTCTTTGACATTCATTTACTGCAAATTCAAATCTACTGTCATAGGCTAATCATACTGTCATGTGTTAGTGACTGGTCATGGGATTTGGATTGGTAATTGGATTTATTGAACACTTATAAATTGTATCTCACTGGCTATCACTCTCTATCGCAAGCTGTCCGCTGGCTCTGTCTCAACTACAAATAACACTGTCTGAGTTCTCTTGCTAATTCACTCAATCAACTTCACACTACAACAAACATTAAGTCTTCTTCATGTGCTAGGTCTTCACTAGTTGTTGCTTGGCAGTGGATCCCAATAGTGGGTGTTCCTCTGCCTCTTCACTCATGTCCTAGTCTAGAGCTATATCTCTAGATCAACCTATTTGGTTTGAGGTTTTCACATTGCTGGAAGTCTACCCTGAAGATGGTAGCATCAGCTATTCCCAAAACATTGGTAACCACTTACCATGATATTGAAACCTATAAGACCACAGTCTAAGCATATGTGCCACTCACCTCACCCTTCTTGATCTAATCACTACCATATTACTTGAAGCTCTTCATGTAATAGAGAACGCAGCTTGTTTATTTAGTTCTGAAAACACTCGCTGAGGCAAAGAGGGAGAAAACCAAAGAATGTGGGAACACAAGAAGTTGAGAGGGAAGGAAATAAAGTAGAAAAAAGAAATAAAATGGAAAAGACAAACGTAAAGAAAGAAGAAAATGAAGACAGAAAGAGCAGAAGGGGAATAAGGATAAAGAAATTAATAAGGAGAAAAGAACAAGGGCAAGAAGGGAGAAAGAAAGAAACATCCAATATATATTACTGTTGGCTTAAGGTGAAGGGTATTATTCCTAACAGCAAACCTTGAGCATCTGAAGTTCTGTGAGGCAAAGGCTGATGTCAGTCTGCGTGATCACAAAGAATGCATCTACGGACCAGGCGTTGACAAGATGCCGTGCAGTATTGGCAGCCCATAGCCTTGCTGTGTGCACAGAATGATCTAGCCTGTGCAGAACTGGAATCTGTTCCACAAGTGGCAGATCCTCCAATGCCTGGGTTGGAAGCAGGTCAATGGGCACCATGGGCTCACATGCATTGCTAAGACTCACCAACTGGTGCAGCAGGTCAGCAAACAGTCGGCCACACACTGATCCCTGTATAACAGTTAACACCTTCCTGTCACTCATAGCACGAATACAGATATCACAATAGCTGGAACATACACAAAGTTCTGAAGAGAACTTGTTATGACTACATTCCTTAAAATGCTTCAAATTATATGCAGAGGTTTGTAGGAACTGCACATTAATAAATATACAATTTAGTCATTCATTTTTGTCTGTAATTTCCATTAGTACAGACACTGGCTATGACAAACTTGCCAGATGTAACTTCAAATTTTCAGTCACCATGCTCTAAACAGTTAATAGAAAAACAAGTTCTGGGAAGAACTAATCCCCTATTTTTCTTTCACTAGAAAATCTTTATTGTGTATGTGTAGGCAAGTCAGTACTTCTGTTGCCTAGCAATAGCCATAGCAATAGCCATCTCCTTGGTCTTTTGAGTGTTACAGTTAGCATTCTCTCTTCAGCCTGTCCCTATGTATTAGGAAGATATTCAAAACAGACAACAGTGTCTCCATCTGAAAGACAAGAGGAGGAGGTCTGTGCCTACACTGAAAGGCCAAACCTTCCTCTTTCCAAAGAGGAGACGCCATTTATAAAACATGTATATGTCTAGGAGAGAACAAAATCTTGTGGATGTTGCAATCAGTGTTCTCTCCATGGTCTGATCCAATGTACTGTGGAGATGTTCAACACATACAATATTTATTCTCCATGTGAGGGAGAAGGTCCACTGCTCTGCTGTCAGAGCACCTACACTGAAAGGCCAATCCCACCCTTTACCAAAGAGGAGACCCCACTGCCTAGCAGTGATTGGGTGACCACACAGTTACAGACAGAGAGGAAGAAGACTGGATAAGCCTACTCTAGAAAGTAGGTTAAAAGCAATGTTCTGTACAGAGTTCATAGGCATTCAAGACATATCTCCATATAAAATTCCACATGTGTAATTACATTAAAACAAAAGATAATTATATATTTCACATGGCTGCCATGTTGTTCTTCTCAGTTGTGCAAACGAAATGCTATAACAAACTGCATACTGTTTGAAAACCTATCACCATACAAAACTTCAGGACCCATGACTATCATGATAGCGATACTGATGGTAAGAAATCAAAAAGTACACAGGTATGATTCTCATGCCAGTTTTTCTAAGATATTTGTGGAACACAGACATGATGATCCCACTGACCTAATTTTCCTTGTTAAATATGGAAAGCATGCTAAAAATTAATTTAATAATAAAATTATGAAAATAAATTCATGAAATGCTTGTTACTACTCAGTTCAGAAACTCATAATGTCCAATCTACTTTATGAAACAGTACTAATGAATATTTTACCAGCTGATTTAAGATTATAAATTTCAAATGCCTTAAAATAATAAAATATTAATAAAACAAATAGACTAAGGAAACCATGAAAAACCTGAATCAGAATTATTCAGAACCTGGGCAATATTCAAGACTATAAAGTAATGACAGATCCTGTAATCACTTGCCAGTGTAATCAGGGCTGGAAAAGGGTACAGACACAGGTAGACATCTGCTAAATCTGAGTGCCTTTTTAATCCAACCAGCACAGTTTGACACAAATGTTACATCTAGCTTTTAATTTCTCTATCTGTGGTTTAACATATACTGTACATTCAGCTGTAAGCCTAATTTCTCTGGCTTGCAAACACAGAACAAATAATACATTTGTGATGATGTTTGCTCTGGCCTGTTGTGAAATAAATGACCTCTTTGTTGATGCATCATTAATCATGTATTTCATGCAGCCGAGCAGGTCAGTTTGAGCATAAATATGTGACCTCAGAGTTATCATAGCTGGCCCATCAACAAATCATGTATTTTTATGTTAAATGAAGAATGTAAGTGTCTGCATTGACATCTGCATTTTTTAGATCTGTAGCTGGATGGACAGAAGTGTGGATGTTGCATGTGCATGGGAGATGTAGATTCCTGTGTAACATTCTTGTTAAGTGTTTTGCTAGCTAATATGCATAACTGCAGGAGGTGATTTCCTAGGTCTTTGTGAGCAAAAAAGTTCATATAAACATGTGTCCGATTTTGGACGGTTATGGAGTTATGACCGTTTTAAACTCAGAATAGAAGGTAACGATTACTGACAATAAATGGAACAAAATAATAAACCAGCATAATACATGATACATTTAATGTATGAATATAAAGTTAACTTCGTGAAATTACCTTTAATTTGAATTTATTGGTGCCTAAAACTGATTTTTGAAAACGCCACTGCCGGCCGCAACACAGGCTGCCACTCGGTTGTGAACCCGCGCCTGACATACCAACCCTCCCCGCCTTAGGTACATCTCAAGTGTCGAGATAATGAGAACGCTCTGTCTGTAACTGGCTAAAAATAGCGACCCGCCAGCTGATAGACGCAGTTCACATAAGGGCGTGTGCAGGAATGAAAAAACAGTCATAACTCAGTAACCGTCCAAAATCGGACACATGTTTACATGAATTTTTTTGATCACAAAGACCTAGGAAATCACCTCCTGCAGTTATGCCCTAAAGTCGTGAAACACCCTGTATATATTATGCTATGTTGTTGGGTTGTGTTCTTTATGATTTCTGTCAACTGTTTTTCTTGTGCGAAATTTTGTGTTTTGTGGTTGACTCTGCCATTTGTCAAAATGAACAGCAGTTTTCCTTCTTTCAGATTCTGTAAGACTGTTATCTGTTTGATTTGTTTCATCCTGGTCCATCACACTAACAATATTATAGAAGGTTCATTAATTCTGTTCAGTGTGACTGATGAAGTTTTTTTATCAACAATGTATGTTATTGTTAAAAACAAGAAAGACACTGAAAAATGTTATGGACAATATGGCAGCGTCTCTGGTTAAAGGAACAACCTGAAACAGTCACCATTTCAGGAGTTGGAAAGTTCGTTCATCACACGGTTTAAATAAGTTAGAGGCAGCAATGCAGAAACCTGTGGCACACTGCTGAGAGAAAATGCTCCATATATTGCCACAAGTTTTGGAATTACAATTTTAACCCCTCTCATGGCTAGATCAACAGTTTCAAGCAGCAAAAGTGTCTTCTAGAAAACTGTATCGGGAGGGTACAGAGGTGTACACTCTTTAACAATGGGGCAATGGAGAAAGGAACAGATACTCAAAATTACAGAGGGTTAGAAATATAAGAACATTTATAATGCTGGGACAGGGCTGTTCTTCAGGCTTCTGCCTAATGAGACACTGAGTTTGAAAGGAATTACTGTCAGTGGTGAAAACAATTCCAAAGAGAGGAAAATGATGCTGTTAGCTTGCAATGCTGATTGGACCAATAAACTTCTATCCTTAATTAATGGCAAGAGTGAAAACCCTTATTACTTTAAAAATGTCAGAGAGTTGTCCACAAAATACTTAGTGAAGAGAGAAGCATGGATTACACTGGCCATCCTTGCTGACTATTTAAGGGCACAATGTGTGAGGTGCAGACCTTAGGACAAATGGTGGATGAAAAGTTTATGTGTGATGTGTTGAGGGGGAGAAGAGGGAGGAGGACGATGATGGAGGGAAAGTGAACTTCCAGCAACACTGGAAGGCATCAGCACTGTAAGCAAATATCTCACAAAGTTTGATGTCAATGGTACTCCAATGGCTGTCCACAGTAGCACTGAGAATGAGGTTCGGAGGGTTCAACAGAAGGTGAAGCAGCACCCACCTACTTTAATGAACAAGTAGAAGAAGAAAAAAGGTTCAAGGTAATATAGTAAATACAGAATCATTGTATTAATTTAGTGTACTTAATTTCAAAAGCCACATAAATTTTAATTTCTTTGATTTTCTATACATTCAAAATGGTCCCTTCAGAAATATCTTTTTCATTTTGTGTTGTAATTTTTTATTTACAGTTTCTTTGATGTTATTCCATGTTAGTTACCTTCTCTTTGTCTGCACTGTAAGCAAACTTGTGTCCCTGCACCAAAGTCTGTCTGAACAGCTGGTCCCATAAGGTAGTAGTAACATGACACCCTAAACCATCCGCCAGGCTGTGCACTGCTGGCACCACAAGTTCTGGCACCACACCTAGAATCCAGACATGTAATTTAGGCCTAAGTAAAAAATAAGTCATGCTGTATGTAAATATGTGGTTCCTCACGGATTTGTGTTTGCGTATATCAGTTACAAAAACCAGAGATGCATTATGTCCCAAATTCAGATGGGTGAGCATGTTACAATGTAGGTATTACTTTCTCCTTATATAATAATTTTCAAAAACAAATGGTACAGTTCAATTTTTATCATACTGAGTCATTTAATTTTAATAAGAAATAAACAGTACTTCAATGAAAATTGTGTGCTATCTCACTGCGGCATAGACTCAAGAGGGGGAGGTCTGCAGCTTTGAGTATGTGTTTTTTCTACTTCTTTTTCACCTTCTGCTTCTTGTATTCACTGATTAAATAACTTAATGCATATACCAAATTCATATATCAGCCTAAGTCAAATTTCCAGCAACACTTTGGACTTTTGCTTATTCTTTATTGTTTGTTTGCAATTTTATGTTACCTTCACTACGTCTTCACTCATTCTATCCGTGTCTCTTCCAGTATGTAGTGAGATTTTCAATTTTGACCATTTATTCAAGTGCTTCAGTACTTCTTCTTGTGCCTAACAACATATATTTAGCTAGAGGTCTGCATGTTTTCATTCCTGCCAGTTCTGCACTCCCTCTGTTTCTGTGATCAAAATCCATGTGGCACTGTTAACACATTGTATGTCCATCTAATGCAGAGGTTAAGAATATGCGAGTCCCACTTCCATTCTACCTGTCTTTATGGTGAAATGCTTAGTAAATTTACCTATACATTGAAGGGACATAACATTTTCAACAGATAACTATATGTCAAACGTATGAGGTCTGACAATAAAGTTCGTGAAATCACCACCGTGTGCTTGCCATTGCAGCAGTGGACAGAAACCTCAGTATGGTCTGATGACAATAGCATATCAGCGTTTCACAGCTGTGTTGTTGTTGATCTATGACAGTCTCTTTCTGAGTGGCATCTATTATTGTCTGAGTGTATTTTCATGTGCCATCGTGGGAATGAGCTTGAATTAAATTTCTTGTTAAACTTGGCAAGAGTGGAAGCAAAATCAGAGAGATGTTAGTGCAAGTTTATGGGGATACTGCTATGAAGAATTCAGCAATTTACAAGTCTGTGACACGTTTTTCTGAGGGAATAGAAAGTGTCACTAATGAAGAGAGATCAGGACGGCCAGCAATGAGCAGAACTGAAGAAAACATTGCAAAAGTTCATCAAATTGTGCGTGAAAATCATCAGCTGACTGTCAGGAGCATAGCAGAGCAACCAAACATTGACAGCAAAACAGTTAGGAAAATATTAACTGAAGATCTTGACATGAGGAAGGTGTGTACAAAAATGGTCCAAAAGGAGTTCGCCGAAGAACAAAAGCAAAGAAGAGTTGACATTTGCCAAGACATTTTGGAGAGGCAAGATGACACTATGGGCCATGCCATCACAGGTGATGAAATATGGGTCTGTCAATACGACTCTGAAATGAAGCTGCAAACTGCACAATGGAAGACTGTCAATTCTCCATGACCAAAAAATTTCATCAGTCCAAATCAAATAAAAAAATGTTGATAACTTTTTTTGATATTAGAGGGATTGTTGATTATGGGTCTGTACTAACCTGACAAACAGTCAACCAAGTTTACTATTTGGAAGTACTGAAAAGGTTGTGTGAAAAAGTTAGATGGAAATGACCAGAACTTTTTGCCAACAACTCGTGGATCTTGCATCACGACAATGCACCTGCTCACATGGCAATGCCTGTGAGGGAGTTTTTAGCTAGTAAACAAATAACTGTGCTGGTACACTCTCCCTGTTCACCGGTAGTCCCCAATGACTTTTTCTGTTCCCAAAGATTAAGGATATGTTGAAAGGAAAGCATTTTGATGGCAATGATGATATCAGGAGTAATATGACGGCAGCTCTGAAGGCTATTCCAAAAAACCAGTTCCAAAATTGTTTTGAACGGTGAAGTATGCACTGGCATTGGTGCATAGTTTCCCAAGGGGAGTACTCTGAAGGCAACCTACAGTGATATCAGCAATTAGATATGTAGCACTTTTACCGTGATGAGTTCGCTAACTTTATTGTCATACCATGTATTACACAGAAAATGTCAACATGAAATTAAATATTATCATATTAGAAGATTAACTAACCAGAAGATACGACTGAACGCAGCCATTCACAAAGCAGCTGGCAACTCTCAGGAGGCAGGGTGCCAATAAGAGGCCCATCTCTCCACCACAGCAGTACATGTTCAGAGAAGGCTCCCACCTCACCCCAGAGGACCTGCTGATAGTATTCTATCACTTTTGTTCGAACCTGCTTCGAAACACGGGGCATACCTGCAACAGTTCAGCTTTGTAAATCTCCTCTGAAGCAAGAGCTCAGGTTTTCACAGCAGTGATTATAAAGGGTTCTGTCTTCAAGGATATAATTCAATGTAATCTGTTAAAAATCAATTGGTGTTTTGAATGAGTATGTCTCCTCCATCTTCAGAGCTGAAGTAGTCAAGCAAGAATCCAGCTGGAAGCAGGTAGCAGTTTCAACAAGCTACATGGCATTACTTCTCAGATGACAGAACTCTCCACCTCAATAAATCATATAGTTGAACATTTTTGAGGTAAATATTACTTGAATTCATAGTTTAACCCTTACAGTGTCAATAACGGCTAGACTTACAGTAAACATAGGGCCGGGCCATAGTTCAAGCGGTTAGTCGCAGGCTTCCCACCGTGGCGGCCCGGGTTCGATCCTGGGTCTGGTCAAGTGGGATTTGTGGTGGACAAAGTGGCACTGGGGCAGGTTTTCTCCGAGTACTTTGGTTTCCCCTGCCAATCTTCATTCCACCAATTGCTCCATGATCACCCTCACCTATTGTCTGGGGCTGGTACAATAGGCCAGAAGTGGCCGCAGTACAAGGGACTTAGTCCCACACCACTAACAATAAAAAAAAATAACCTCAAAGTTTAACCCCATCTCCATTGATAATTTTTAACGTGCAAAATGTTTCATGAATAACGCTGTACATTCATGAAAGAACTCAATCAAGGTTCTAGAAATAGTCACTCAATTGCCCGAAGTGAGTCACTGAATCGTGGCTGTAAATACAGAATAGTTGTATGAAGCATGCTTCCAGTAGGATTTGAGGTTTTCACAGAGGTGGTTATGAAGAGTACTATCTTCTGAGACATAATGCTGTGCAGCCTATTATACCCAAGAGGAAAGTATTCTTCAATAGTTCTAGTGTTTGGGCAAGAGGTTAAAATACTTATGGTGTATTTCTGGAGCCCTGATCAAAACACTAAATTATGCAGCCTTGTTTTACTAGGTCACTAATATCACTTATAAATTGGGAGCTAAATATATACTACATGTACTGAGAGTGTTGTGGTGTATAGATCGAGACACAAATCTGAGACCTTCCAAATACGAACCAACAGAGTTAATTTCTATGATAAACAGTATGGCTGTTAGAGTAACAAGTGTCATCACTGACAGTTGGGCTATTAAAATATTTTAAATATATAATTCAAAGACAATAAATACCCCCTGAAAACTCTTGAAGCATACTGAACATAAATACCAGAGGTGCGGGAAGGCTTGACACCACCTGACCCCAGAAGATGAGGTGCACTGTGCGCTGCTACACTCAGCAACACAGATACGTGTGCCTCCTCCTCTACCAACAGACGTTCGAGTTCTGGGCTACATGTACGCCGTGTCTGTAGAGTGGCAATTTCCTTCATTCCTACAGCTCCCACTCTCTCTACTGGGGGCAGCTCTGAGGTCACACAAGGTGGAGTCATGTGTTGAGTCAGAGCCCTGTAAAAATGTGAAACTTTGTATTATGAGATTAAATTTATCAATAACAGCAATTCACTCATAACATGAGTAAGACTGATGACACAATTCTGAATATAAATGAGGGAATTTAAGAGGGAACAAATGGGGGAAACAGGATTGACTGACTGATTATGACACTTATGAATATTATTTCAATACAGAGGTTATATGACTCAGTAACCTGACTGAAATTCAAACTGGGTGCCCAGCAAATTCATGATACACATAATGAGGAACTTCATGACATATGCAGATTACGGGGATTTAAATTGGCTGTCAAATAGCTTTAGTGGAGGAGAGAAAAAATAGTGACAATACTTGTCAAATAACTTCTTGGAGAAAGGCCACTGTAAGATCGAGAAAGAAATGACATGGTATAATTAACCTTCCAAGGCCAACAGCAAACATACCTGTGTCCATCTGGTATGCCTCCTGGGCCAACCTCAATTATACTTGCTCCCAGTCTGTTTTACCTTTTCTTCACACCAGAAATAAGTATGTTATATTAGATGCTCTTTGAATGTTTGAATTCTCATGCTCATACAAAGAGTGTCAGTTGAAACATGTAGCAAACCTTTCTTCCAGGCAAATTCAAAGGAATAATAAGAAAAAACAGTAAAATCTTATATAGTGACGACAAATCTGGCATGAAAAGTATGTCAGTGCTTGAAAGATGTAGAGGGAGAAAATGTGAGGATGAGAGGTAGCTAAAACTGGTTCAAGATCATGTGGTGGGGTTGAACCTTTGAGTTATACTGTCAAAGAGTATGACAATTTGGGGGAAACGCATAAGGAAAATCATACTGACCTGGAAGATATGTGAATTATGAACAGTGACAACAAAATAGCTAAGCTGTTTACAGCCAGTAAGAGAGAGACACTTAAGAAAAAGAAGGGCCACTAAAAGAGGTGCAATTATAAATGCACTTCCTTTAATCTCTTCTACTTTTTCTTAAATAATATTACACCAAATAATAACAAACACTTCTGATTTTACAGTACTGAAAGTAATAATATACAGTTCATACATTAAATGGTTGAGACATATATATATATATATAGGCCTCACACAAAAAAAAAGATTTTCATAACAGTTCTCAAAGTGGTCAGGTGACACACTACTCGAGGTGAAAACATTTCAGCTGTATAATAATACTGGCCAAAAATATTTTTAAAAAATGTAAATGCTTTTCAGTTTTAATTTACTTTGACTGTGTGCCATCACACCACTATTCAATCCAGACAAGATTATAAAATGACGGATTCAACAGCACTTAACCATAATTCAAACTGGAAAGAGACAGAACTGTCATTTATAACAGTGAACACATGTCACATCCACCACAGGTAACACTCCTGAGTAGTCATATAGCTTTGTATGTCAGAAATAAATATTCTGATCCCTAACAACATTTCTGAGAACTTTTTTGATGCAGCTTATATATGGAATGGAAAATGAAAATATATACAAAAAAGAATGGCAAGTTGTTACAGTCTATAGTGTTCTGAATAATATTATATTTATTATATTTAAGCATCCTGTTGCACTCTACACAATAAATGGTACAAACTCCATCCCAAGTGCAAACAATATATTGTTTGCACTTGGGACGGAGTTTGTATCATTTATCGTTCTGAATAACTCTGAAGTGAATAGTGTGGAAGTCAACACATATTCCATCTCCAGCAACATAGCAGCGTTAGTCCTGCTGGCATTGTGGGGCTTCCATAGGCTGCCCCTAATGAAACAGAATTCTTCTACAGTTTGTAATGCCACTTCACAAAGGGGAGTGTTTCCAGAAATATCACACCCTCAAGCACTTCCCCCTCGTTGGTGTCTCCACCTTATCGTGGTGAGGGGGTTTGAGTATGCCAAGGACCCTGAGAGCTATACCAGCGGTAGCGTAGCTACTGGCAGGGCCTCCCTTGCTGGACAGGTCAAAGGGTAGGCATCAGACGAAGAGAGACACCAAAAACCAAAAACTGATGCCGGAAGCAGCGTCATCAGCAGCGACTTGAAGCACAGAACAAATGATGCTCGAGATGGTTCAAGTTCGTATAGCAACAGGCGTGACCAGAGTGGTTTGAACGGCTGTTGTACTGCGATGTGGAAAGCAAATGGAAAAACTACCACATTATCACTTTTCCTGGACAGTCTCTTTCCAAAAACAGAAGATCACATTAAGTGGAGGAACTGTTTTGGAAGAGACTGTGGACCTGTCATCTGACAGTTACTGATCAATCAATCAATCAAGCACTTCTAGGAGCACTGGTAAGTGTTCTCCAAAAATTTTAGTTCATAAAATTAATTAGGAGATTTTATATTAATTTTTAAAGTGAACAGTGTACAAGTTAGGGTAGTAGGTATAAAAATGCCGGTCACCAGGGTGATTTAAATATTTAAATCGCCGGTCCGCAAAGTATTAAGAACACATTAGACCACTTTCTTTAATAACAAGAATGAACTACTGTGCTAGATTCTAGGTTTTACAGTAGCACAACCTACTCATATATTTCAATGCTAGAGTTGGAGTTATCTGGAGTAGTCATTCCATTGCAATCCATGACAGAAATATGTGTGTCTGTAGGCTTGTATATGTCCAGAAGGCTATTCACCAGAGAGTGGCAGCAGTTTTCTGCATGGCTCTGTGCCAGTACCTGCATAAAGTATACAAAAACAAGGATTATTTTATGGGCAAATGTATAAGCTATAATAGTGAGGTCCATTATGAAAAATTAGTATAAGAATAAATTTGGAATATGCTCATCATTCAATTCACTCAAATACCTTTAATCATTCCGCATATTTCAAAATATTCTACACATCATCATAGCATATATCCATTAAAAGTTTTACTCTAATTCTTACGAATTCACAAAATTCGTTTACAGTTAAAATACAATAACCATTTCAAAAGAAACTTAACTATATATTTTAAAACCTAATGTTAACAGTTTTCACTTCAACATGTTATTGAAAATGTCTTTAAATTCTTTTTCTACAAAATAAATTTTCAATCTTCCCATCCATCTATGTCCTTGTAACCCAAATTATCTCCTCCTATGAATTTTTTACTTCTTTCATGTGTAACACATGTATCCAAATTCTTCCTCTTTCATTTCCAGACTTTATCTTTTCTGGTATAAAATAATTAAATGATCTGCCAATCACAATCTGACTAAGGCTGAGCAATCAGTACCCTTTTACCTGAATAATCTTTGTGACTGAGAGCTTTCGCAGAGGATGTTGCAAGATTGGGCATGTATTACGGCAGAAGGTGGCAACACCCTTGTTATCCTGAGCACCAAGAGCCAGGACTTCATTGTACAAGCTCGATAATCTGTATGAAGAAGAGACGAAGGAAAGATGGTTTTCAGAAGAACAATCAAGGAAGTAAAACACTATATTTAATTTCATAGAATGAAAGAATACAGGAAGAAAACAACTATTGTACTGTGTATGTTGTTAAGACTAGTGCCTGTATTTATGGCATATTCAGCCCTGCTAGCCTCTGCTTAGGTAACAGTGAAGAATCCATTTCTGAGGTGCCTATGAGGCAGACCAAGCTACCCACAATGGTAGAATGTTGACTAGGATGTGGCTAGTAGATTAGACTTAAAGTTTAATATGGATTACGAACCATAATGGGGGTCGGGTATACCTACTTTCATACGGTTTCACTTCTATCTCAAGTGATGGGTTCTGTGTTCTGTATTTGCATGGCAGGTACAACTTAAAGTAACCCCAAGCACTCAGATCACCACTGGGTAATGTCAAGGCCAATTCTGCATTAAATTCACACCTTTTCATAGGAAGTAAAATGGTGCCTGTACTTACATGTGACAAGTAAGCAAGAACACTTAAACTTGTACTCCATAATTCCACCAATCAGTAATATCAAAAATGCAGTGCCTCTAACTAAGCCTCTCCTGTCCTCACCTTCCCATGGTGCACCCTGTTCTCAATGATGAGGCTCTGGCAACAACTTTACAACTTTAAATTGTCATATATGCACAGTGGAGCAAGAATAGAGCAGCCAGTATAGCAACTGGCTATGGGCTGGACAGCTGAGGGGTTGGATTTCAAGTTCCGTTACAGGCAATATTTTTTTCCTCTCCACGTATTCCTGACGTCCTATCAAATGGGTACTGGCTGCTCCTTCTCTGAGGATAAAGCAGCCAGCCCATGAAGCTGACCACTCATCTCTAACCAGTAACGAGGTCAAGAATATATGGGTCTACGGCTACTTCCGTAAACATTTTCATGGCACAGTGCTTAATTAGTTAAGCACAGGGACAAGTTTACCTTTTACATGTGCAATTCACTTTCTATAAAACCCCAGTTTATATTAGTGTTTTATTCATCTACACTACAAACTGGGAATTTGACATGACAAGTGGAGCAAAATTTATTGCACTTGTATATACATACAAGTGAATGGAGAGTAAGCAATCAGTTCTACCCAGACTTCTTGTACTTCTTGCTGTGCTGCAATATATTGCACCAACATCCATGTTATATAGAGAATCGTGATTTGCAAATGGTACACAACACTTTCCCTACTTGTTGATCTTCCTTTAAAAGTAGGAATTCAGTTTTTAAATTTTCAGTAAAAACAAATTTCTATCTGTTATTCTGATATTTCTTTTAGCAGTACATACATAAAAATTAACAGGTTCTTGCAATAACCACATACCTCAACTACCAGACTGGCAATACAACATGCAACACTGCACTGCCACAATGCCTAGAGCAGCGCACATGCAGATCACAAATGCACAAGTGTCACTTATGAAATTGGAGTGTGAAATAAAATGTTTCTGTAACTTCTAAATAAAACTGTTGGAAGAAACAGGACTATTTGGAATTATGTTTAATCTCTGTCATGATAATGGGATGATCCTCCTAGAAACTGGACTTCTGGTCACCTCACACTAACCTAACAGAGATTCATATCACATACATCACAAATACAATCTCATGTGTTCCAGTTACATCAAGCTGCTTGGCAAGATAGTAGTAAATAAATGAACAAATAAAGGAACATTCTATTCTAAATTTCTTAATCCAACCTGAACAAATTTTCCAGTGTGCAGTGATTATGGTTTTGCTCAGCAATTTTGTTACACCTGGTCAGAATCTCTGTCACTGTATGGTAAGTAAGATACGCCAAAGTAAGTCGGTCCTTCCACAGGATATCTCTCCACCAACTTGTCTTGAATCTGAACAGAGGACTTTTGTCCTTCTTGCCAGGTATAGGAGCAGTGTTCACTGCTTTGTAGCTTCCTAGAGAGGATGAGTCCACACTACCTGCAGTCACAGAACACACATACACACATATGTATACACAATAAATTATTGTTCACTGCATTAACAAACACCTCTTCAAAAGATAGTGGTCCTAACACAAGCATCTTGCTCCTGCCGACAGCCTGGCTACTGGGTTACTTGAAGAATGCTGTTTCACCTTCACAGACTGCATAGTATTCAGTGAGATGGTAAGATCATGAGTGGTCACACGGTAATGATTTGTAAGATTGTAATAACTTACCTGAATAGACTATACTAGTATTCACCTGGAAATACTGAGAGAAGCCATTATAAACTTCAATTATAAGAGAGAAGTTTTTTAGTCTTATTTAACTTCACTGGGGATAAAAACAAAAAACAGTTCACAATGTAACCGATTACTAGTGGACTTGAATGTGTGAGGCCCTGGAGGGGAGGTGCCTGCGTGGCGATAGCACGGCATTATTTCGTATGTGCAGTTTTGTAGCTGGAGAATGGACGGTGGATCCCCGGATTGATGTGGGGAATGGTGTCATCTAGGGTGTGGTGCTGGGAAGGCCCGTAGGTCTGTTAGTGTCGCCAAGCCAGTGGTAGGCAAGAGTTGATAAGATACACTCCTCGTGAGTGGAGGCACTGGCCTTTTCCTCATAGAATCGCCTTTGTAGGCGAGACAGTGTCAATGTTAACTACTATAAATAGTGAGTGATGTATAATTGTAAATGATAGATTAGTGATTGTGACAAAGAATAAGTAAATTAAACCTAAGGTTGTAAAGCCAAGGGTTCGTTGTGTTGAAGTTTCTTCGAAGAAAGACCTGTTATCGACCTGAGAAAAAGATCCATGCCTACCATTATCCTAAATCCAACCTGGTTACTTCTGTACCCAAATCGCAAGGAAGATTATCTAAAGGTAACAGAGTTTGAGGAAGGGTAAAGGTGGGCGGAGCGGCAAGCAGGAGTAGCCGTGGCAACTACGAGGAGGAAAGGAGCGGCCGGAGCAACGATGAGCAAAGAAGAGAAAGGGACGGTTGTAACAAATCACACAGTGATATATAATGGACACCGGTATAAGAAATTCAACTGTTCACTTCAAGATAAAAATGTCTTGTAAACTTAGATTCTGACCACACCACATTATAACATGTCAGTGTCTTGTAAAATAATGGTATCATCATAAATGTCATATGTAAAAGCTCTGCTAGCATTTGGAACCAGTTTCAACTCAGATTACTCTAGTATCATTGGTGGCATTTACAATATTTTATCAACTTAAGAGAGTATAACAAGATTTGAAACATACTTACTGGTGGTATGCATAACAGACTTCATGTCTGATGGCATCTCATGCAGAGACAAGCTTTTAAAAGACTCGACTACTGATTGCATTGCATCTGTAGTGTAACTCAAGTTCTCAAGATCCACTATCTCATTTTCTGCTTCCTTATTCTGACTCCCTTTCAAAGCATTCCTAATATTGACAAAGAAAAGAGTGTTGATAGCAGCTGTCACCATTACAAATTTGTACCATCTACTACATAAGAAACCTATTTTTCTCTCTCTAGAATCTTACTGAAAAATTCGGAGCAAAATATTCCATGTTTCAATTATGATTTTACTTTTTAATTTGTAGCAAGAAACTCTTTATAAACTTTCTACCGTACAATTCACTAAAATTTTTCCACTACTTCCAAGATGAATTTCTTCCATATAGTTCCACATCCTTCTGGTACTCACGTACTTTACCATGGCATATTCTAGAGAATAATTTAAAAAACAACCGAGACAAAATCTAACAACTTTTCAGGGTATTATAAATTCAATAACTGTATTTGCTATTGCACAGTACACACCCTCTCAAAGTAACCTCTAAAATTATTCTGCATCTTTTTTTAGGTTTGTGATGTTAATGCAGAAAATTCCTGAAATAGTAGAAGTCAGAAAGATTGATTCTTTCTATGTGCATCAGCATGCTATGACAGATGTGATGGCATGCAATTGACGTAACTAACTAAACTGCATGGAACTGAGTTCTTCTTGAGAAGCCAACAGTCACTTAGCCACTCTGGAAATTCCCAATATTTTAAGGAATCCCAAGGTTCAATACTGTGTTCACAAGAGCCTGCCACTGGTCTCTACCCTGAGCCAGATGAGTCCAGTCCATCCTTCCCCCCAAATACTATTTCATTAATATCCATTTGAATATTAACCTGCATGCATTCCTCCACTTTCCATGCAGGCAACTGACATGGGACACAAAATTGTATAATGTTGAGTTAATAATGAAATAAATAAAAATATTTGTTAGCGGTAATTTAAGAAGGGCTAATTTCTCAGAAATATTTCTCGTGCTGTAGTGCTGAGTGTTTCTATTGTAATAAGAGTAAATATTAATATGTGATATATACAGTCACATAAACAAATAAAACACCAAAATACCAAAAATGTTCTTCCTAAATATTTCCTTCTGAAATCTCAATAATCACAATTTATGATGGCAAACATTTCTCCTTATAACACACAAAAGCAAACATATCAGAATGTAATTCCATACTCAGCATGTCAGTGTCATAACCCAGAATATCACAACTGCAGAGAAATGATCATATTAATCTTTTCAGTGGAAGTCATCAAAGACCTAAAATATGCATGCACGTAGCCCCCCCCCCAACACACACACACACACACAAAAAGCTATTTTAACTATTACAGTGTACTTAATTTTATACACTTGAACTTCTCGGTACAAAACTTTTGATCCTACCACCAAGGGCAACTTTGTGTAGCAATATAAAGAATGACTGATACTCAACATATATGAGTATGTTAGAACATTTAATCAACGTTGACACTTCATGCGTATCTGTTACAGTCAATTTGATCAATGTTGGTATTATAAGAAATGAGATAATTTAATGGTGAAACTAGAAGGGACAACATAAGATGTAATGTTTCAAGAGATACAAGGGGGTACCCAAAAGAAACCGAACTTATTTTTTTTAACTTATTTATTCAAATTTTAAGCACAAACCTTCAATCCCCTTCAAAGTACTCTCCACTTACACTGATACACTTACTTGTCTAGTCTTTTATTCCATTTTTCAAAACATTGTCTAAATTCATCTTTTGAGATGCTTGACAGCGCCTCTGTCATTTTTTCCTTTCATGTCTCTTTTCATTCGAGGAAACCAAAAAAAAGTCGCACAGGGCAAGGTTGGGTGAGTATGGAGGGTGAGGAACAGGGGTCATACCATTTTTGGTCAAGAATTGTCGTACAGACAGGGCTGTGTGAGCAGGGGCATTGTCATGATGGAAAAACCAGTCACCCGACTGCCACAAATCTGGCCACTGAGCTCCAAGTCACTCCCGACAGCTCCACAATTTCTTCAATGGTCCGTCGTCGATCTTCCTTGATGATTTCACGAATTTTTTCAACATTTTCATGTGTTCGGGCCGTGGAAGGACGACCAGAACGAGGTTTGTCATCAATTGACATTTCACCATTTTTGAAATGGGAAAATCACTCAAACACTTGAGTTTTCCCCATAGCATCGTCCTTGTACGCCGTTTTTAACATTTCAAGAGTTTCTGTTCCACTTTTCCCGAGCAAAAAGCAGAATTTCACCGCCGCACGCTGTTCACGAAAATCAGCCATTGCAAAAACGATGATCACACAAAACAGTTGTCACTATAAACTCTGCCGAAACTAGTCCTTACCTTCTGAAGCATCAGTAGTCGGCTTATCGACTCAGGAATGTTAGCTCTATGCGCTCATAGCGGCAAAATGCGGTACTACAAAAGCTCTGCCCACAAAAAAAATAGTTCGGTTTCTTTTGGGTACCCCATCGTATGTGCAACATTCAGTCAGTATAAGAATGGATGACAAAGAGAGAAGATTGGGAGATGCATGAGGTTATATGGAACCTATGGGATTCTCAAGATAATTTCAAGACAGATCTTTTAAAGAATTATAAGTGTTGGATACTGAAAGAAAAAATTGACTATGGAGAAAAAGATAAATTAGGAAGGATGAGAATGAGGAGACAGATTTCCATTCAAATATTTATGGCAAAATTTGAAAATGTGTCACTGACAATAACCACACCACACATTTGGAATTGTGTCAGACCCTGTATTTTCCAACAAGGCTATTGTATTCAGCTTTAATATACATGTACCTATGCAGTGATAGAAGAATATCACGCAGTTTCCCTGACAGGAGAACTGAATGATAGTGCAGATCTTGGCAATCATGGTAGAATATTTGTGTCTTCTCGCTTTCCACCTCCAGCCACTCCCCTTCGAACATGGTAAGGTTTTTCCATTTGTGACTCACAGATCAACTGATGTCTGCTACCAGTAACAGCTACATAATGCTTGCTTCTTGATGATTATAATTCCACCTTTGGTCATACTATTTACATTGGCCTTTTGAAGTATAGATGTTTGTGTTAGGCACACACAACTCTTCCTCTTCCGCTCCAGAATTCTGATTACAGGACTGCCTTGACAACAGGGGAAAATGTAACTGCAACACAATATAAGAATAACACTAAATACTTTTTTCTCAGTTAATTTAAAGGACAACAACAAATTCTCAAATATATGATTACAGTGTAACTGCTGTGCTATCAAATTCCAGAATGAGGAAGGGTGGAGACGAAAGGAGCAGGATAACTTAGCTCTGTTATCACAATACAGTAGTCTTGCCCAAGATTCTAGAACTCAGAAATGGAAATATTTAGATCGTAAAGAAGAAAATTACTGATTTAAATTACTTCAGTTTTCAACCGTAAAGGTCAGCAGATAGCTAGGTAAGCATCTGGAAGGAGACTGTGATGGGCTATTTGATGATACTATCCTGACATTTGCCTAAATGAAATCTGGAAAAATAACATAAAAGCTTGATCAGTTTAACCAGTAACCAGGCCAAGACTCAAAACTAGCACCTCCTGAATACAAGTATAGAGCAATACTGTTACACCAGACTGCTCATATGGGAAAAATCCCCCCCTCCAATAAAAAAAAATATAAGTTCTATGGTCATAAAGCTTTCGAAATTGCAACCCTAATGATGGTAGTATTTAGTGTTACGATTTTTCAGATCCACCACTTGGCCCAGACACTGGCTATCCTGACTGAGGGTTTTCAAGGTTTTCTCTGCTTTTTCACCAAATTCGAAGCATGATACCGTTTCTCGTCCACTAGGCACGGACATTAATTCGACGGCCTGCGAAATATTCGCCTGATGGCAATCACTTTGATGACGATGAATTTCCTAGACATTTTCTGTCGCTGCGAACGATTGCCGTACGCACAGATTAAAGAATGCAAATGCAAGATTCAAGTACCGCTGTTGACAATATTATATTTAAGCATCCTGTTGCACTCTATACGATATATGATATAAACTCCGTCCTAAGCGCAACAATTTATTGTAGTTCTTTCGTCTTGTTTTCTTCTACACTACATGTTTCGGCCACAAACGGCCATCATCAGGTGTATACACTCACGTAGCTGTTACACTGCACTTAGTTTAAAATTTAAAACGCAGGTCTTCCCAATTGTTCCCTTCGTCGTTGCTAACAGAATCTACTTCGCTGATATTTGTCTGATTCGTACATTATCTTTGTTACCTACACACGTCAATTTTGACTTTCATGTACTGGCACTTTTAAATCTTCAGTTCCAATTTTAAAAATTCCTTTAAAATTTGTTCTCAATTTTAAATTCCCAGGGTTACTCGCCCTATGTCTATAGTACTGCAGCGGCTACTTCTTGTTTTCAGCACTGTACAAGTGTTATTCTGTGTAGGCTCCCTGTGTGCGAAGTAGAGTCTGTTAGCAACGACAAAGGGAACAATTGGGAAGACCTGTGTTTTAAATTTTAAACTAAGTGCAGTGTAACAGCTACGTGAGTGTATACACCTGATGATGGCCGTTTGCGGCCGAAACATGTAGTGTAAAACAAAGCAAGACGAAAAAACTACAATAAATTGTTGCACTTAGGACGGAGTTTATATCATATACCGCTGTTGGCACAAATGGCAAACCGCCAATCGTAATTATGCCCTCTCAGTGGCATTTATTCACAAAAGCTACGGTAGGACAAATACGCAGGATGTAAAACAAATTAAACACTGAAATAAGTGACTAACAGAAATCCTTCATGCCTTACTTGAGGTGTCTGTGTTGTGATGCAGTGTAGTCTCCAGAAATCGTAATTTGTAGGACCAGTTTCGAAGGTGCAACTCCTCATTTTACTCGTAGACTGCGGGTGTGTTACCACTAAAAAAAAGAAAACTCCGTGGCCTGTAGTCCGCAAGCGAACTATACGGACCGCCTTTGTGGTCTAGTTGTCAGAGTTCTTGGCTACAGATCCAGAGGTCCGAGTTTGATTCCCGGCGCTATCAGATTTTCTGAGAAGCAATGGTTCTGCAACGGGGTCCACTCAGCCCCGTGGGGATGACTGAGGAGCTATTTAAAGGAAATAAAGGCTCCGGTCTAGAAAACCGAAATTAACGGCCATGGTGATCCGTTGCGCTTACCACGCAACACCCTCTATCCGCTAAATTTGACACTAACTTCGCTGGCAAGCGGCGGTCGCTCGGTCGGTATAGTTACGTTACCACTTCTCTTTATACATGTTACTTCAGATATTATTGCCTAACTGGTGGACTGCATGTAATAATAATCGAAATAATTGTAATCAAGTTTCAGAACAATGGACTAGAAAAAGCAATACAGTGAAGCAGTTACACAAAAGTATCTAACTGATATTTACCTCGTAATGTCGAAACACGTCTTAAGTAACATTTATGGGCCTAGAAAAGTGATAAAGGAGCAGACCAACAGTCTACGAGTACGTTAAGATGTTACGCCTTCAAGACTGCCCTTGCAAATTAGATCGTTAACCACTGCAATAGGATGCTGAAACATAATATTAAGGTACAAGGTTACCGACTTTCAAAGGAACTTGCTGCTCCGTCTTCTGGCTCGAAGAGTATGCTTGCTGCTCTGTGTACCCTTCGACTCTGAAAATGTAGGCAGTACGTTCCTCTAGAACGCCGGCAAACTTCTACCAGGACACACGGTGTCACGTCGCAGAAAATTATTCCCTACATGGGTTCCTCGATGTCCGTTTTGTAGGATTTCGGAATATTATGGGTCTACAACTGTCGAGTTTACGAGATTCTGGAGGTTAGGAAAATTGTAGCCGTTGACGAGGTCCGCGTGTAAAAAGACTGTGTTGCATTCGTATAACTTGAAGGGAAATGTGACTAAAAAACGTGATATCCGCTTTCCTTCTTGCAACGAAATTCTAGTTTGCGGAGGCACTAGAAGACTGAGTCCCCCCCCCCTCACGGCTAACTTTCGAAGTTCGTTTTTAAAAACAAATCAAAATCCGGCCTTAGGTTTGTGTTTTTAATAAAAAAGAAACTGTGTATTACAAAAGACAGGTGGACACTGGTTAGTGTTTACTGAATGTTTTCCCTTTACTAAAATTAAGCTAAATCTTTCTGCATTGTCAACACTGAAATGTCGTTTCGCTATATGCCGGCAAAACGTTCTCAGATACATTTGCATATTTGTATTATTACCTACATAATTTTTTAAACTTCACGTAGTTTCATTCATAATAAACGATATGGATTAGCGATGAAACATTTAGATACTGAACAAAATGTTCTGGCTTCCATGTGTCTGTTATGAACATTTCTACTATTCAGCAATATTTTCTAAATTCTCAATCTCCTTCCTCCCCTCATTTATCCTTCTGCTCCGTTGTTAACGCGTGTCAGTCCAGAGTCCCATTAGTTAGCGCTATCAAAGAGATAAGTGATTATAATTAACATAATATACATTACATCCAAATTTATGTTTATATATATCGCGCGGCAGCCACATTATTGTTACACATTGTACAGAAAATTACCTTCATAAACTTAACGCGTCCTTCGTAGATTTATTGACACACAACTTTTATGGTCCTCGCAAATCGAACATGCATGCTGTTTTCCAAATGTTTGGGGCAGTCTTGTTTCTGATCTTCCGAAATATGCATGGACAGACTCCACGCTAGTTCCGATATGTATATGCTTGTTCCAGAAATGTTAACCGCGGTTTTTACCTCTCTTTCTCGCTATGGCTATAAGACTAAGGGCTGAATGGCCAGGGCTTGGTTCCTAACAGGGACACGAGATGTTTCCTACTCCATAGTATCCAGACCGACTCTGGGGTCCACCCGGCCTCCTATATCATGGGCATTGACGACTCTTTCTTCGGGACGTGAAGTTTATCGGTCGCTTTCATCAAGTGCCGATGTAAAGAATGGTGGAGCCATACTCCATTCCCCCACACGTCTTCATGGCGTGGTGCTTAATTAATTAAGTTTAGGGAAATTTTTGCCTTTTTTTTTTAATTTTGCCTCACTCTAGCTATCCATACATACACACACGCACGCACGAACGTACGGATTTAGAAAGGAAGTGAACTCTGATGGATTCTAGAATTCAGATTATTTTATCTTTTTCTAAAAACTGTATGATTGTAATTTTCCATTTTACATAATTAACGTCTATCCCACTTGCATCAGGGGTTTGAAGCACCGTACTCATTCATTACTTACTATTAATGTCCGTCAGGGCACAACAAATAACAAGCCTCTTCTTGTGGAAACACATTACTTTTACTTTCAGGTTTTCTTTTTGCTAAGGCGAAAGACTCGTTTCAGATCACGTCCGCAGACTCTCGATGGTTTTCGCCCCCCCCCCCAAAAAAACGCAAGATTTTATCTGTAGCATATTAATTCCGTTGTTTTAGCTTGTGGCTCCTTTTACACGTTAAGTGTCCAACAACGATTTTGATCTGCCTCAGACTCTGTCCGCTAAGGAACACACACGCAAATAATACCGTGTATGTACGACCCACTAATAAGTAGCACCAATACCGTCCGCGCCTCAGAAGATTGCACGACCGCCTCGTTCGTATTATTCATGGTATAAAATTAGAAAAATACAAAGGTCGAGTGGCATGATGTTCGTATGTTCCATTAAAATCCGTCAGTTAGTTAAAAGAATTTAGATAGAAACACACGGACACAATAATATCATAGGACAGGGAAAGGTGCCTAATGAAACCGGTATATACTCACCGGAAGAAAATTGATGGTGGACGTCACTGGGCCACGCGGAGGACTGGCCATTCAGACAGCCACCTACCACAGCAATCGATAGCTGAACGGGCGAACTCACACTTAAAAGACTTGGTGCCAAGCGGTGCTCACATCCGCAGCGTTCCCCAAGTTCAAAGTAGGTCATGGTCCTAGCTTCCCACTGTCTCTATAGATAGGCGCTACCGACAGCTTTACAGTATATTCCATGGTATTAGATCACTTTCATCTTAGACAGAAGCCGAGAAACGATGCCTATTGTTGGCACTGCGACGCTTAAGTGTATATTCCGACGTTTCTGTTCCGAGGGTGCTAACTGCTTTATGTAATACCCAGAAATTTTATCATTTTTCCTGTAAATAATTAAAGTGTTAGATACGTAAAGAACATGGTGTAATATGAAATCCTCCGAAAATTTCTCAGTAATAACTGACAATGAGCTTATTATTCACATCTTATTACTTTTTCTTCTGTATAAATTTTAACCTTCAGTGACTTGCTGCATTGGTGTTCGAAGTATTGCCACACAGGCTCAGAACGAGACATTAGGGAGATAATACGCGTAATACACGAAAATATACTGACCTAGGGTATCGCAGTTTCCTTCAGTCCCTCCATGCATATACTGGGACAATACCTTAAAAAATACCATTAGTTTCTTCCATACCTTTCTCTCTTCATTTACAACCATTCTTACACAAGGAAAGGAACCGGGATAACTCTGTGGGTAGAACGAGCTACGGGCTTTAATTCCCGATAAAGAGAAGAGATTTCCTTTCTTCACAGCGTCCAGAACGGCTCGTGCCTTCTAACAGAGGGGTGCTGAGGGTTCTTCTCCGGAGATAAAGCGACCGACCAATCACCTCCACCTAATGCCGAAGTTAACAATGTGTGGATTTATGCCTTCACTCTCCCATAAATCTTCACGGCCTGGTGCTCAGTTAATTGTGAGCAGGAATAAGTTTCCTTTACACTCGAAACTACAACCTATTCAATTTAGAACTCTGAAATAAAATAAGGAAAATAAACCTCGTCGGCTTCTCTATGAGCCTGACATCCAGATGGTATTCATGAGAAGTCAGTCAGGAGGATTTCCCACGGATCCCAGCATGTGGCGTCAAGGTATTGTTCTATTTCATGCAACTAATTCTGTTATAAAAAATGTGAAATAGAACTAACTTTGCCTGCCGTGTAAGCCATTTATGCCTATTAGGAATTCGTTATCTGAACAATCCTAACAAAATATCCATACTGAAAACACAGCTAAAGTAAATTCATAAGATATCCCTTGTGCAGAATTCCTGGGTCAGTCCGATTGCGTGATGGAGAGCCGTTCTTCTCCGTTGCTCTCTACTGTTATTCCTTGATACATTCCAGCCGCTCCACCATACACGGAGTTCAGAAATAAAAATGGGAATCGTAGCTCTTAAATGAGTTACAGTAGATCTTCCATTACTTAATGGCATTGCGTCAACTAAAAATGTGATGTAATGAGCGTGAGAAGAGTTTTTCCTTAGTTTATTAAATTATTCTGTCTCAGCTGGATACGTCATTTAGTACTGAATACTGCGTTTATTAATCAATTGATAATTCATATTATTATGTATTGTTTGGAAGGATGATAGTCGATAAAGCGTTAGGAAATAAATAAATAAAGTTTATCTACAGGAGTATTATATAAAATTTCATTGTATTGCATTCTTTAATGAATTCCGAACATAGTTTATAAAGCCACTTCCCTATTGCATAGATTTCTAGCAACACACATCTAATGCTAGGCCTATTATTATTATTATTTAATTCACTTTGTGAATGCGTTGTTACTAACGTAGGCCTAAAGATCGCGTTCTATAGTCGGATATAACCTCAACGTTAGGCAACGTCACAATATTCGACTATAAACAAAATGCCTATTTCATACGTGACTTGTAGGTACGTCTCTGATGCATTTCCATAAGACTTCATATTCCTAGTTCCAACAGTTCATTAGCCAAAGCCAACAAACCTGAAGGAATTTTTCACACTGCCGCCATGTTGTCAGTTTACATTCTTCAAGAACATGTGTATAAAAGTTTCATTATTTTCTAGTATGTGTTACCATACACCATTTCAGGACACTAAATTATGAGTTACTCGTGTCACACCCATCACACAAGTTCGCCAGTCCGCCACGTTATTGACTATGGGAAAGAAAAAAGTGTGAGGGAACCCATTTTTAAAGTATTTCAGTGGCTAAACGTAAATTTTACAAGTGTGTCTGCTAAATCCCGACCGAGCGACCACCGCTTGTCGGCGAAGTTTAGTGACAACTTTTGCGGATAGGGTGTGGCGCGTGGTCAGCGCAACGAATCCCCACACCCGTTAATTTCGGTTTTCGGTCGGTATAGTTCGCTTGCGGACTAAAATCACGGAGTGTCAGCTAAATCCCGAGGCAGGAGGAGGAAATGAGATTTTTTTTAATTGAGTATGTACGTCATACAAGACAATTATGCACATGTGAGCTAAACATTAATTAGATTAAAGTTAAAAAGGAGAAGGAAATATAAACTAAGAAAAAATGGTTAGCGACAGCTAAGCTTGCATTTTCTTATTGCATCTGGTACTTCTCTTCAGCAGGATGAAAAATTTCAGTGAAAATATCTGAGTCACAGAAGTTCGAACTGTTTTCTATGTCTGGAAGAAATATCTTCTTAATTGTTATTAATGATCACTTAGTGTGTTAGCGAGTCTCTCCTGAGACTGCGTGCTGCGTACGTTAATTGTGGACCTTCTTCAGATCAAAGAATGTCCGCTTAACAGGCGCGCTTGTTGTTGGGGTCGTTAATAGCAATGCAGATAATTTTATTATTTCTGGTTCATAAATTTTCTTCGGACGATTAAATGATGGAAATTCATTTTTCAGACGAAGAGAATCAAAATACAGACCTTGCGACTTCAATTACGACTCATAAACAGTCGCTGAAAACTTCTTTTAAGGTTTAAAATTCTAGAAGCGGAAAGGATGTTAGTTTGAGAACTTCGTATTGGCAAGTATTCCTTCATAATGTCGATCATTATACAGTACAGCATGGGATGGGACGCTTTGGATTATTATTATTTTGCTCTTCGTTGACATTCTTTGGCTCACAGCAGGATATTCTGATTGTTCTGTATCTCCGCGAAAACAGCTCTCATTTTCTGAACAAATCTTTCCAAAACTGTTACGCCTCCCTATTGAAAAGACATACTGAAAAGGTTCCACTTCTTTAACCGATATTCAGTAGAACTTGGTTATAACGTCATCAAAGGGACCTAAAAATAGTGTCGTTATAAACGAATGTCGTTGTAACCGAAATGGGCACTTCCACAGTAGCCTTATGTTAGTCACGTAAAAATCTACCAAAAACCGAGTTAAAATGTTGCATTTTTTAGTGAAATACGTAGTTAAGTACAGACTAACGTAACATTAACGTGGAATTGCCCAAATGTGTAATATCAAAGACATATTACAGCGCTTTTCACTGACAATACACACAGTATTTCACGAATCACTTTAACTTTCTCTTCAATGCTTAAAACTTTCCTTTTCATTGCCATGTTTTCGCTACTGCACTTCTCTGGGTTTAGGCAGGAACACTATAGGGTAAGTAGACAATGTGAGGTCCTGTTAGACGAGATTCTAGGAAAGGAATGCAGTTAACAACCTGCCGCGTCCTCTTGCACTATTCACGCAGTCCCACCCCACACCCTTGTTTTCGCATAAAACCCACGCTCCTCTTGCAGCCCGCGGTCGTATTCTTCCAGGACAGTCACGTCAGCAAGTAGAGAAAGTGAGGGTGGGCAGACACATCGAACTTTCCCACGATATCAGAGAAATTCAGGAATGAAAATGACGTTACATACGAGGTTGATGCCTTTGTGCATGTCGTACTAAGCAAGGTATAAAAACAGTTGCTTTATGAGGAATTAGTTCGTACCATTGAATATTTGACGCAATAGACAAGGTGTCGCAGAAAACGATGTTGCTATAACCAAGTTTTACTGTAATTGCTTTTGGTTTGGATAATTTAGATTCTTGGGAGACTTGCGGTAACATTCCTTAAAATAGTATCAAAGTAAAATTATTGAAGAACTTCATGACATTCCCAAGAAGAAATACGTCTTTCACAGTCCTGTTCTTGCTTGCTTTAATTACGTGTAGATGCATCCTCAGCGAACACGAAGCAGCTGAAGCATGTTAACAGTTTCCGTTTGTCGAAAATAAGGGGGGCTTGGAATGTCATGCGCTCTCTTCTTCCTCTCAAGCCTGTACTCCAGCTAGTCTCATCAAGCTTGGGGGGTAGGGGGATGCCAACGTAAGTAGCAGGGAAATTGTTAACAAGCCAGCTGATGGAGGTGGTAGACGATATATTATCTGATCACTTCTCCTGCCAATATTGTAAAGCTCTAGTATTTAGAAGTGACAGTCCAGGAAAAGCTGGGCCGATAATCCTGTTGTCCTTCATTAGGCCACACCAAACGTTTAATTTTGGGCTATCTCGGATATGTTCTCCGTAGGCGTGCGGATTTTGCGTTACTCAGATCCGTACATTATGCCGATTAACAAACCCTGACAGATGAAAAGTGACCTCGTCTTAAAACGGGATGTTTCCAAGAAGTTGAGGGTTCGTGTCGATACGATCCAGCATTTGTAGCAAATTCCTGTCGACGAGGTTTGTCATCTGGCTTCAACTGCTGAACAATTTGCACTTTGTAAGGATGTAAACGAAGCCACTTATGCAGCACTCAATGTACTGTTAATGGTGAAACGCAGAACTGTCTTGATGCTTGGCGACTTGGTTTCCTAGGGCTTCTCTGAAACTCCGCTCGAATTTCTTCCACTTTCTCTTCAGAAACAGTTCGACGAGCTCCTCCAGATTGTTTTAGAACACTTCCTGTCACCAGAAACTTCTCAAACCAAACCTTAATTGTTCTCCTATCAGGTGCATCTCGTTTGTACTCTCGTCGATAATTTATTTACACTGATATTATTTTGTTTCCGCATACCACACTACTATAGCCAGCTCCCTGCAACTCTTCGTTAAATTTGGGCAACATGGCCGCGGTGACGTCACATGGCATTACTCCTGCCATCTCTACGTAGACGTACCCTAACTAAATGACAAATGGCCACCAGCATCTACAGCATGATCAATAAAATAGAATGCTACCATACCACCCTATGTGACCCCCTTCCCCCTCAACCTCCCCTCGACCATCGGAACCACCTGTTCCCATGAATAGCAATAAATAATTTTGCAACCATATCTCTTGTGCTGCAGAGGTTCTTACTCCTTTGTGTTCTTTTCTTCCTTTTCTGAATTGGGTTCAATATCACTTCACTCATATCCGTTTCAAAGGATATGAGTGAAGTGATACTGAACCCAGTTCAGAAAAAGAATAAAAGAACACAATGGAGTAAGAACCTCTGCAGCACAAGGGGTCAGGGTTGCAAAATCGGAAAGTTTCTCACCAGTGCCTGTAAAGTCATAACATTTCATTCATACCAATCCAAGATCTCCTTACCCAAATGCATTGGACATTGTGAACTATAACATACACAGAATACTTGTGTTTAGGAGAGCTGAAGGTGAGGAACTTGAAAGAAAATTCTGTTGCCATCAGACATACTTCTATTTACCTTCACATCTTTGGTAACAACTTACACTTGAAAGCCACACAGAACATAGCTTTTTGGTTACATTAAAGCATTATAAATCATATATGGCAAGCAGTAATACTGATGTTTCCATTTATTATTAATTTCATTAGAATGATGTTCAGTACTGGACAGGATTATATGGCAAAATTACAACATATCTTACAGAATACTGGAAATCTAATATTCATCTTTCATTTCAGTAATGTAGAGGATTATATGGCAAATTAATATATCTTACAGAATACTGGAAACGTGGTATTCATCTACCACTACAATACTGGACAGGATTATGTGGCAAAATTAATATCTTACAGAATACCGGAAATCTGATATTCCTTCCATTATAGAACTGGACAGGATTAGATGGCAAAATTAATAACACATCTTACAGAATACTGGAAATCTGACATTCATCTTCCACCTCAGTACTGGACAAATTGCAAATATAATAACATATCTTACAGAATTTTGATCTGTTTCATCCTGATCCCTCACATTAACAATATTATAAAAGGTTAATTATTTGTGTCCACTGTGCCTGGACATCAGTCACTCTGGATGGAATTAATTAACCTTTTATATCTCACAGAATATTGGAAATCTGATATTCGTCTTCCATTACAGCACTGGACAGGAATATCTGGCAAAATTAATAATTGATCTTAAGGAAATGCAATGATTATTGGAAATCTTATATATTCATGATCACCAGTTCAGTACTGGACAGAGTAATATGGAGAAAAATAAGAAGGAATACACCCATAATAATAAAACAGAATAATATAACTAAAATAATAACATAGGTATGTAACCAGTTGCCTACTTGTTTGGTGTCATGTTCTTCTACTCGTCCTCTCATGTTGGTCTTTACATCGCTGGCAGCTGGACTGCTACGGGCGACGGCATCTACAGCTGGCTTTACGCTGCTTCACTTATCATACTTACACACCTCTGATCTTTAGGGTAATGGGTTTTGTTTGGGCGCCACTAAACTGCTACTATCAATTTACAGATTTAGGAAAGGTGTGAAGGTTTGGTAAGGGGGTAGCGGTCGCGGGTAGCTAGTTCCGCTGGTAGAGCTAAGATTCTGTCCTCAGGCCATTTGGCAGGGTCTTGCTCATGAAGGGAAGTGGGATCTCCTGTTATAACACACACACACTTTGTTCCACAAGACACTTTATTAAACTATTGTCCATAGTGGACGCCACTACCGCACTAGATTGAATTCGCGTCCAAATGGTTTGCGATCTGAAATAAGACTTTCTGCAGAATCTGCGTTCGAATGGTTTGTGATCTGAAATACGACTTGCTTTTAGAATTTGGGTCCGAATGGTTTGAGATCTTGAATACGACTTTATTCAGAATGCTTTCTCCTCGAAACTCTCGGAGTCGACTCGGTCCACAAGTCAACTCGCTAAATTAAGACTGGCAATTTTCAAAAAATGGGAGTACACTAATTAAGTATTGCCCCAATCCGTTTAGGTATTACAGGGAATTTAGGCGCTAAAACTTAACGTAAAACCTGTCAGTAGCTTCGAGAAATGTTAAATGAAATAGATTTTGTTGCAAAGAGGCCTTAATCATTACATCCACCTTAGCCGCTACGAATTTGCAAAAGGTCGTGTGGATAAAATGCAACATCCATTCTTCTGCTACTGCCACATAATCATATATCTCAAACAGGGAAACTGACCGTATACATACCTCTCTCTTCACTCATTCTGAGTTTTCTGAACGACCTACTTGTGTTAATCCTTTTTAAAAATGAAATTGTAAGTCACCTTACGTGCTTCCCCCATTCTTGATCGATCTTGATCCTACTATTTGTGTACGCTGTTACAGACTCGCCATTTTGCTTCATGCGACCGTGGCGCTGCGTAGTGAGCGAGTCTAGAAATAAATGAGTTTTCCGTTTTTCAAGTAATAAACATTTTGAATCCAAACCCGTGGGTTGCACTAGAAACCCTCCTTGATATTTCTGAGAATGCAAAGAACTGATTCCATATACAAACACTATGAACTAAAATGCTACTGTTGGGGAAAATACTAATGCTACAGAAACTTCCTACAAGGTATCACAGCCACTGACTGGGAAAGATCATACTGTAGGAAGCAGAGAAATAAAAAACGTGGGATGTGAAGGGGTAGGTGCCCCATGTTATCTCCTCTCCTGTGGTCTATTGAATATACTCTGAAAATCACAGCTTATAGTAATTTATTTATGGCAAATCACTTATCAAAGCTACAACAGCTAGTGATTTCTTTACACAAAAGACAAGTTCTGGTTATGGGGGGGGGGATAAGCATCAGGCTTCTGGAAGATGAAGTCTTAAAGTTGTCTGTCTGTAGTCAATACAGACACCTTTACAGAATGTTACTTAAGGTTTTGTCAAAAGAAATGCTAGTGTTCAATATAAGAGCTACCAGTAATTCAGCAATATTCTGAGAATGTCTTAGTGGGTATATCTAAGAAAACCAAAACAAGCTAACATAAAATATCAGGAATGTAACGTGGGCAAAGGAACCTAGTTACTGTTTATTTTTTCTGAAGTTTTGAGGAGTATTATTTGAACAAATATCACAAACTATCAGAATCAAAACCTCAATCACTGCAACAGTACAAAATTATTCAGAAAATTTCTGTAACTTCCTGTTACGTACATCCCCCCCCCACTCACTCACTCACTCACACACACACACACACACACACTCACACACATATGCATGGAAAATTAACTGTGAGTGTCAGAAATAAGATTTGGGTAATGGAAAATGAAATATGTCAGGGATCTGATTTGGGCAACAGCCTTGCATTATTAGTTGTTATTCTTTCGCTTTTGACATAATACAGAAATTGAAAACTTATACATCGAAGTGTGATTGGGTCAATCGCATATCCAAAAACTTGTATATGTATGTTCAATGTAGGGTCTTCTGTGCAGCATTTTAATTTTAAGCTGCATGAAAACCTTATGGCCACTTTTCCATCATTTATGCCTTCAAGAAGGTAGCAAGTTCCTCCAAACGGTGGTAATTTTTAACACTCTGATTCCACAATGAGTATAGACTTCCACGAAAACCTCAAGGTCTCATACTGTACATACATAATTCAAATTAATAAAACATATCTCCTATTGAGAATCGTGGACTCAGCATGACGCGATAACGCACGCATTGCCAGCAACATTACTGCGGAAACGTTACAGTGACAACCCAGATACCATTGCTTGGTAACAGCGAGTAAACAGTCGTTGCTATGTAAGGTCTCCAACAACAGTGGATCGTGTGCTAGCCAATCGCAAGCTAGAAACCATTCGCTGCCTAGCAACAGCTGAGTAAACAGCTGGTGCTAGGCAAAGACTGCAACAATACGAACAGTGACATGTTCTCTATAGGTCCGACTCTAGGATATATAAGAAGATACACTGAGTGGAAGTGAGAGTCTCCCATGTGGAGGGGGGTTGAATACCTCCACCATGAACCTGCGAGTCGTAGGAGGCGACGAAAAGGGAAGTCTCAAATTTGGGAGAGTAAAATATGGTTGCCAGTTCCAAGGGACTCAGACCCGAGAAAGACTGCACTGGCAAGGGCCAGCATCATATACAAAAGGCAGATCCATCCTCTCGTCACAGAGGGCGCCCCACAAAAACAAGACAGTAAATGCCCAACAGTAATAGATATCTGGTCATGAGCCCAGATGGGGCTCGACACCAAGACTTACTGACTGACTGACTGAATGACTGACGATCAGTCGCAATGTGACTTGGACTTGGGAAGTGAGAGTGTTTTTTGGGCAGTTTGACAGTTCTACAGTTTGACATTCTAGTGAGAGTTGTTAACACGAAAAGGACAGATTCTAAAGTTCTTTGTTCAACCTTTGTGTTATAATTACGTTGAATTGTAGTTACATGGAAGAGTAATAAAGTGACATGGCAAGAATACATATCTCGAGGTCTTGTTTCATGACTATGAAATAAAAAAAGAAAGCATCATACCAAGACAGTCCTCATTTGCCAATTACAGTAAATAAAGACTGGCCATTTACATGTATAAAATTTCTGATTATGTACAAACAAAATTCCTCCTCCTGTCAGTAGCATACACAGATGCATGCATGAGACTAAACTGAGCATAGGGTATATAAAAGGTAGTATACAGAACATATAGTGTCAAATGTTTTCAGGCAAACTCACTTTCAAGTGGTGGTGCATTCAGCTTTCACAGACAAGAAGCCAGTGACAGGTCACAGTGGTACAACCATTAAGCTTATATTCACACTGGAAGGAATTCCACTACCATATTTAGGTTACTTGAACCTCAGGTTTAGATCTTGAAGTCTGTGTTAATCACTAATTTAGTAAACTTGCTAGAACTCACTGACTGTTCAGATTACTTCAGTTACACCTATGATTCAAAGAATCTGCCTCATTATCTGCAATTCTTATTCTTTTCTAAGATACCATACATTAACTGAGAGATTTATGGGGGACAATAAAAATGTAATGCCTATACAGACATGACTCTCTTTCAGGAGTCTTGTTTGTGAAAATAAGGTGCACCAATTGAAGGGGTGTTTGACATTAAGTTTGATGCAGCTTTATATTGTGCATCTCATCTTACACTCTACACTAGAGACTGTGAAATTAACTTCAATGACAAATTATGATGAAAACTGGAAAAGAACCACCTGTGACATAAATGAAATTCAAACACAACACCTTGCCAACTAAGACTGTAAGCACAGTCTTTCATTACTGACAAGAGACGCGTGTTGTATACTGTCCAAATATCCAAAAATAATCTGTACATCAACTTGTTATGTTAAACATTCTTCTAAATGTCCACATTTTTCACACTAGTATACCATAATTTGCAAAAAAGAAATAAGTAAAATTCTGAACATTCAAAATGTTGATCTCATAATAAAGTCACACAGCATCATTCTGCTACAAAAAACTGACACACATACCAGACTGCATCTCTGTTCTATCTGTGTCATTATGTCTACTAACACAAGAAACCACATGTTAAGTAACTCAAGTTATTGTTGCTTTGGAACATCATCCATGAATTGAAACTGTCTTATGAATTAGAAATATTTTATATAAGATCTTATAAAGATGTAAAATATCACCAATATATGGTACCAGAGTTTAGAAGCAGAGCTATGCAAACTGTTTATACTACACACCACATCATTTCTTGATCTTAGCAAAATGTAGTTCAAAAAATTTGAAAACTGTTCTTACAGCTGAAAACAATCCCATCCTTACACAATACACCAGATTCACCATCACCTTTCCTTATGATTGCCATTTTATTTGTGCTAAGCAGCATTAGACTCAGATTAGAAAATAGATTGTATTCAATACAGCAATGACTTAAAACCTATTTAAATTATCATGAATGCTGCAAGAAATGGAACTGTTACATTAAACCATATGTAATGGATGATCCTTTGAAAGAATCAGTAGCCCAAAGTAACATCAACTTTATAATAATGAAGCAATGTATTAGAATAATGGTATTACAGAATTTAAAAGAAAGAAAAAATGGACAGTCCAACAGCTTCAAGCTGTTTCAATTATATAAGTCTCTCAGTTTTCCTTTTCTTCTATTAAATAATTTTTATGGGAAAATATATTACAGTCTTAAGGATGTATAAAATCCATTTCTTAATAATCCATTTGAAAGTATCGCATAGCTCAAGTATTAATAAGAAAAGTGAGCGAAAATGGATGGCTGCAGTTTCAAAAGCAAGTTATATTCTCTTCTTATGCATAAGTGTATTTAATGTGTTTTATTGAGTGCATGTATATGTTTGATTTGCACAAAATGTCTGAAGGGAATTAAGTATTTTATTAATAATTTTTTCAAATAACTAATATTAGTAATACAAAAACAATTAAATTTATGTACATTTCTGTGAAGAGGTCACATATGCATGAAAATGGCATTTATTTGGACTTCCTGAAAACAGAGGTTTTCTGAAACTGAACAGTCACCACATGCAGTTACTATATGCACACCACCATACCATGGGAACATGGTGCACATTTCAAGCCAAGAAGGCAGTAACATTAATATTCTTATGAGTGTGAGGTGATTTTGGAGCTTGTGTTACTTTGTAAAACTACATGTACTACAAAATGAACTGTTTCAGCGAATTCATCAATAACACTTTTCTAACTGTACAGATTACACAATGCCAAAAGGAAGATTACTGCAAAAGATAAATTTGAAAGGATGAGGAAGGACAGATGATTTCTGGACCAAGTTTCAAACATGGAATATCCTGAATACAAAGCAGAAGTGACAGTCACTCAACCAGAACATTTAGTGCAATATGATTATGACTGATAAATCAGAGAACGAAGTCATGGCTTACTTTAACTCTTTCCACAGCACTCTAGGCACAGCCTGCAAGCCATTTCAAGAAAGCATACGTGACCCATTCTTAAATCAACACTAATTAAACCCCATGAAAATATATTTACTACATACAGAATAGCCCTATCATACGACTTCAAATTATCATCACTGAAATATGTCATAAGATTGTCAGTAGCACTCAGGAAGCAACTCTGCATTCTTGGATGAAATTACAAGGCCAGCAAATAGCCACCCAGACCATGATATGATTTCATACTGAGACCAGAGAAGGACTTAAAGTACTATTCCAGCATCACCTAGAAGGAACAACATTATGTTTGGGGAACTTAACCAAATTCCCAGCTGAGATTGATGTGGTTATGTGCAACATGTTCTCAAAATATGAGCAGTGATCTTTACAGCAAAGGACAAAAGAGAACCATGTGGAACTCTTAATACTTAAAAAGCAAAAGAACAATCAAGTAACCTGACATGTTTATCCTGAACTTTTTTAGAACTCACACTATCCACAAAAAACAGATTCCGCAAAAATTACTTATACAATATTTCCTTCCCAAATAATAACCATTATAATTCAAATACAGGCAAGAATTACTTTCAATCAACTGACATACATAATCTTTCTAGAGGCTAGTACACTAATCTTATAATTTTTCACTCATAGAATGTATCATATCTTACTCCATCTCATTTATCAGCATAAAACTATTCTTTCCACATTCTGACATATGGCATGGATGTCTCTTGGCAGCTCTTATATAATTCAATTTACTGTACATTTTTTGTTGATGAAACAACAAACCATGAAACTAGCAAATAATTTACATACAGAAACAAACTTTCTGGATTCATTACACACATCTCATCAGACTATCCTACATTTTAAGTCAATTTCCAGAATGAATTTTGTATATAATGAATTTGCCCTGAACCATATCCCACTAGAATAAAGCTGTCATTTTGGACCTGCACCTATATTCTTTACCAAAGAAAATAATGTTGATTTTTACGCCAATATTCTGACATCAATAATAACTTGAAAGAGGGAACTGCATGATACTGCAATGAAAAAACTTCATGCTTAACATTCCATACATATGGTTTTCAATTTTCTTCACAGTTACATTATGTAACATCCCACACTACAGTGGCATCTGTCTGTTCCATCAAAAGTTTCTGAGTGTGAAAGGCTTCCATAGCCAAATTAATTTGGGAAACACCCATACACAGTACAAGTGATAACATTCTGTGCTGTCTAACATGCAGGTTTAGGATCAGCATGAAATGAAATATCTTGATTACAGTCAATTGTCAAATGTTATCTCTTCTCTTCTGACAATGTTTCCACCAAGATGTGGGGCCAGAGATGAAAAGCCTCCAAATATCTGTCATAGTATACTGTATTCATCATCTACCTCTGATCATATGTTTCAGATTTTCTAATATTGTTAAACACTTAACCATATTTGTTCTCACATGTTCTTCATGTATTTTTCCTCCTAGATTTAATTTCAGGGCTTTCCAAGGCATCCAATATATGGCACTTAATCTTTTTTAATATCATCAAATCTCTGTTAGCTTTTCATTTCTACCTTATTTAAAGCATAAGCTTCTGAAGCCTCCATGACAGCTTTCTTCCTAACTGTATCTCATTTTGGTTCCCTTATGACGATTCTTAAAAATTTTAAGTCCAACTATTGTACTTTAATTTTATAATTCCATCTGATTATCTACTATGTTGGTACTACATATGATAGGGAATTCATAATATAAATGTTGGACAGTCCCTAATGGCATGATGTTTGATCCAAGTTTCATCAACATTATTTAAAAATTACAGAGGAGGGCAAATATGTCTATAGACATGATATCCATAATTAGAAATATTACATCTTAGTGTCATACTTCATGTATGAAATTTCTTTGTTTTCTTCTGTCAGCACAATAGGTAGTATGGACACAGCATGCATTCAGTGTTTCTTAGTTTCACAACCACCACATACAAGACATAACACTTTCCCAAATACAGGGAATACAAAGGAGGAGATTACACAATCATATACCTACATACCAACAAAACACATACTACATCATTACAAGACCAGCAAGAACCTCAAAGAAACACATAGGTTGAAGAGACACACATACACACAATATTACATCCATAAAAAATATAAGAAAACTTTATATATGTTAAACTTTAATGATCTGAAATTTAACAATTAATATTTAACCTTGAAGGCGAACATACCTCTTTATATATAATGACATTACATACTACTAAAAAAACCAATATTCCAATATGTAAACACTGGCCAATGTAGGAACAATAGCAGATGAAGAGAGATGAGTGTAAAAAGATCAAATGGCTCAATGAGCTGAAACATGCGTTAAGAAACAATGTATGCATGGTGTGTCCATACTACCTAATGTGGTAATGGATAAAATTAAGAAATGATATTCATAAGCCTCTCCTTTCTTCTGAATCAGAAAAGTAGAGTAAACACTTCTCTAATTCTCATGAAAAATGAATACTGTTGTAAATAATGTCATTTCTGGTGTAACCAGACCTGCATATTCTCTGAGGGGAAAACTAAAATAATCTGCATGTTGCACATAAGGGACCATCCAGTCAAAAACTATGATGAATAAGTCTTCCTTTGGTAATTCCTCACAATACCAGGCCATGTTGCTCTGCCTCACAAACAACTTGGATTATTTCTGGTGGCAGAAATGACACTCTTATGCCAGTGACTCTGCTGTGCCATTAACATTTTAGCATCTAAGAAAATAAGATTCCTCCATTTGGAATCAATAGTAACTCAAAGCAATAAATCTAACTCCTGATTGTCTACAAATGTAATTCATTGGGCCACAATTACATTTGACATTGTCCATTGTCTATGGTATATATAATATACTCATATGTGATACATTGGAAGTTGATTCTACTGTGATCCTACAGTGATTTGTCTTTATATGGGTAGATGTATACTAACAAATGAGGTATACAAATGAAAATGCAGGACAGGTGCTTGGTGGAATCATTTGATGATGGAAATATAAAATCAATTGTAGAAGACTTATCATCATTGACGTACTGCCCACAGGGCAGTTAGTATTTGTTTGATCACAGAGATAGCAAACCATTACTATATGTGCAGATTATAGCTGGTACTATCATTAGAGATTTTGCCTGTACAAAACACTTTGTCGCCACTCAATAATTTTATAGTCCAGCAAGCCATAATTTTTCACAACTATTGTGTTTCTAGGCATTATCCATTTTCCTGTTTTTATTTAAAACATAAAGTTTTGGAGACTGAATTCTGTCTCTGTCTTCAGGTAGATCCTACTTAGTTGGGCTCAACTAATAGAGTTAGTCACTATCTCTGGACCTTAGATCTGATTTCCATAATTTTAGTTGTGGTGTTTCCATCATAAACTCCAAAAATCACAATTATCCAGGGAAAAAAAAAAAAACAAGAAAATGCAACAATATATTTTACTTTAAATACTGCTTACTGGTATTAGAAATATTATTTTCATGCAAGATAAACACAAAATCAGTAGCCTCTCCCAAGCTAAAGTTTGTGTTGTTCTCAAAACAACTATATAAAGGCCAAATTTAACTGTCTAAAAATGTCCATCAGCTTGTCCCATTAATATACCAAGGCAGTTCTTGGAGAAACAACATCTGGCACCACTTTTCATTGCTAATGGAACTTTACACCGAGCAGTGAAAAAATCTGTTATCCTTGCTTCAGTAGAACCTGAAGTTTACCTGCTTGGAAGCGTTGAGAATGTTCAGGAAAAATGTATTAATTTTGGGTATTCTGTGGAGTTGAATATAGGCATTGTTATAACTTTGCCACATGATAGAAGGCAAAATCCTGAGAGAGGTCATGACTATAGCTTTATCCATGAACAGTACCCACCGTATAACAGATTTCAGTCTATACCAATGACTGCCAACATTTTTTGAGTCATAGATTGACAAAAGAGCAGTGGGTTTCTGAAGACCAGCCCCTACATATTCTGTACTGTACACTACAAATAACAGTCTACAAATCTACTTATTACTGGCATGTGTAACATATTTGTTTACAAACAACGATTAAAAGTCTATACCCAGAATTACAACTGAAGACATGACAAATACCAACACCGAACATAACACAAAACATTATGCATGAGGGTATATAAAATAATTTAAATTTCCAGAAATTTTGTGCCTATATAAAACAAGAAAGTAACTATAACTGATTTACACAATGAAATTCTATATGGAATACTTAATAACATTCAACATACTAGGAACAAAAAGGCATCAGTTCTATAACAGAAATTCTTCAATCTGACAAGACAGATCTGAGTAAACAAGATAAAACAGAGTTAACTGTAGTTTCTCTAATGGAGGACGAAGCTGTGGATCAACAGTTCGGACACTAAGATCAAGCTTGACAGAAAGTATACTGCTGAGACCGGAATGATTCTGGATGGATCTGTTTCTGTGGATGAGCAATGACATAAAAACAGTCCTCTAGATATTATTCTGCAGAAATGAACAATCAAAGTAGAGATTATGATGGAGACTCACATAAAATTACATTCAATAAGCATATTTCACTGAGCAACTAACAACTGGAGATGGAAAATTAAGCAAAACATTTGATAGGGCTCCTTCAAACAAATATGGCTGAGTTCTTTGACAAACAATGACAGTGAGTCAAACAACAAAGGTTTATCCTGTGCCTTGTTCATGGAATTGAAACTTTTTCTTACAGACGGGACACTGGATGCCATAAGGAAAATAACTGTACATATATTTTAAAACATATACCACCTATGAATATCTGGAAAAGGTAGAATATGTTTTGACACCGAAGGTTGATTGATTCATGGGTTACATGACTCCTTTCAAACTTCATAAACCATATACTGTCAAATGGTAACACATGAATGTGAAAGATGATTGGAAAGTGAAAGGAAGCAGTTATGACCTATTTTTCTTTCTTATCAGTATTTTCTTAGAAGGACTGAGGGAATCACAAGACACCTGTTAGAACAGCTGATCTCTGAGGACCAGATTGGATCTCAGAACCTCCAGGAATATTAACCATTCACCCCATGATGTTCAGATCAAAAATGAAATGACTATTACCTTTTATGACACTTGATGTAAGTCTTCTTGAGGTTAAGGTTCTCAGTCAAAAGTAGGAAAGCCATTTACAAATTCACTACTGTCATTACCCTCCATGTCAAGCTCTACCTTTACTTGGGAGCAAAATATCCCTTAAAATTGAAACTGATTTTCTTAAAATATAATGACTCATGCAATTAACCTTGGAATTCTTCACCATGCTCATTATCTGTGTAACTTTACTTCAAGTAATAATATAGTTCTGGGTTCAGTATGAAAATAGGAAGTTGAACTCTTCATTTACATCCTTTCACAATTTTGAAATATTTTAGAGTCATCTAACGAAGAAAATGACAATGGTACATTTTGCACAAATGTAAAGTAATGTGTTTGGAAATGATAATAAGCATATACTGTGACATAACTTGCTGCAGACATGTTACCTGTTACTATTTCGGAGTGATGAATTTTGTTATTTCTTTGAGTTAGTATTATTACTACTAAATGGAAGAGTCATTATGATGCTAGAATAACCCAACATTTGGCACAGAAATGCAAACATTATGCAACATAAAACTGCTCTCACCAACATCACTCCTGTAGAAATGAAGCATCTTTGACCACTTTTACCAGTTAAGACTTGCAGTATGACAGAGAAGGTAGCAGTGGGCATGGCCCTCTATCACGCGGCTAGAATCTGCAGCATGAGAGCAGTAGCACCAACAGCTCCAGTGAGCACCGCAACCAGCAGCACAAGTGCAAGTGGGCCAGCACTGCGATGCCCTGTGCAGCGTTGTCATACAGCTGCTGCTCCACCACCCTCACCAACTGCACCAGAATTGTTTCCCGGAATTGTGGTGCTACCACTACTCCTGCCAAGTAGAGTACCTCGCTCTTCTTTTCGGGACTTTCCTCCCGAAAAGCACAGGCACCCTGAGTTTTGCCGGCCACGTTTCAGTGAAGGTTTTTCTTCTCGTTCACGTTCCAGAACACATTTCTGGTAGTAATCATAGTCCTTCAAGTACCTGCAAACAAACCAAAAAATTACACAATATCTCTGCACTGAAGCTATAAAGTTCCTCTTAAATTATAAATATAAGGTACAATACACGAGTGCTGTACAATACGGTCCAGTATACGAGTAAAGTTGCCTGAAATATGGCAGCATCTCAATGAATGTACATGATAGGATACAGACTTTGTTGTGTGTCAGAGAAAGATGTCACATTTCCTATCCCTGTTGCTGGGTTAGGTAGCCATAAAACTGTGATGAATGTGCGTGAAAACACTTTTCAACATAAAATATACTTTCTATTAGTTTGGAAAATTCTGCAATGGAGATCATACAGCTAGGCCAAACCTTATTTCCAGAAGAACTGAATTCCTCTATCATTACAATTCTCCAGATCTTACATCATGAGATACCTACCTCTGTCAGTTTCTAAAGAGTGCATTTTTGTGATCCTACACTAACAAATTAGACAAGACCTATGGAAAAATATGCCACATGTACACAAAGAATAACACGTAACACTATTTGCAGGGAGTATGATACCTTCATCAACGACATTAAGTATGCTCTCAATGTAACGGCTCTGACCCTGAGGATGTCCTGCCTTATTTCATCCCATTTCACAATGTAAAAATGTTACACAGGCCACATTTTTAGACCTAGCCTCTGGGATAAATGTGAGAAGAAGTATGGTTGTGGCTGCAATGGGGAAGGATCAATCTTCTCACCAATAGTCCAAGTGTTTCTATGAACATTGTGATATGGGAATGTTGTAGTCTTAACAATCAGAAACATGTTGCTGTGTACGTTAACAGTGGTGCAATTTCTATTACTGCAATTAAAAAAATGTAATATTTACAACTACAGCTCATCTACAATTATTAATTTAATGTAAACTCTTGCACCCCTCAAAGGTGTCTCCACCTTGTGGTGGTGGTGGAGCTTGCGTGACTCTATGACCTGGAGAGCTATGCCACCGGTAGTTTAACTACTGGTAGGGTCACCAATGCCAGAAAGGTTAAAGGGTAGAGTCCAGACTAAGGGTGACACCCTGGTCCTCCAGGTTGGGGGTTGGGCATGATGCTAACAACCTCATCCTGTAAAAAGAATTTTGTTTAGAAACCTAACAACCAGCCTTGGGTCATTATGCGTGGGTCCATTCCTATGCCAGCATGCACTGGTTGTGGAAACTGGTTGTAGAGGAGGCCAAGGCTCACCCAGGGCTGTACTACCGAGTGGTAGGTAGGTAGGTAAACTCTTTCATACAATGTGCTAAATCTACCTCAAAGACTCCTGACATTCCAGGCTCCAGTCTGTTCACTGCTTAGGGCATGCTCAACAATTCATAAAAGTCCAAGGTCCAGTGTAACAACATGCTAAGTTTTTATGATGAGGGGTCATTAGGTCTTCACCCATTCACTGAGATGGAGGACCAACCCTTGTCAGCTATCTGAAACTTCTTATTTGACACAATCACAGCTATTCTCCATTTGTAATGTAAGGATGTGCCACAATATTACTGTAGTTACATTTCCTTAAAATAATTCCTTTAGTCAAGATAAAATGCAAAATTTCAAGATCCCACAATAAATATATATTAGCATTTTTCTCACTCCACAAGTGTGCACCACCATGGTACTGGTAATGCTCCAATGTACCAAGATCTGGGAACCTCCAATGACAAAGAGCATAATACTGATGTCTGTGATGCATCAGACCATAGACAGACATACAAGCATATTATTGATATAGTTTATTAAATTAACAATTACTCTCAATACGAGTACATTATCCATATAAAGGGGATTTCAGCCAACAATTAAAAAACATTTTGTTCCAGCAATCAATTAGCATGGACACTTAGGGCAGTAGATCAGAAACACCTGGAAAGCTTCGAAATGTGGTGTTGGAGAAGAATGGAGAAGATCAGTTGGACCGATTATGTGAGAAATGAAGAAGTGTTAATTAGAGTCAGTGAGCAGAGGAATATCCTACACGAAATAAGAAAACGGAAGGCTAATTGGATTGGTCATGTTTTATGCAGAAACTGCCTTCTAAAAGAAGCTATCGAAGGAAAGATAGATGGGCGGATAGAAGTGACAAGAAGACGAGGAAGAAGACGTAAGAAGATGCTGGATGACCTTGGGGACAGAAGAGGATACTGTCATTTGAAGGAGAAAGCTCTAGATCGCATTAAGTGGAGGAATTGTTTTGGAAGAGACTGTGGACCTGTCGTCTTGACAGATTACTGATGATGATGACGAATCAATTAGCAAGTTGGTGAGCAGCATGTACTGACTTGTGCACTGACATAGTCTGCTGTTACACAGCCGCTGTTATAACAAGTTGGCAGTTCATTTCTGTCTATTGCTGCATGTATGTTCATTCGACCAGTTACCTGAGTGTATTCACTGTGCTTCTGTTGAACTATGGTGAGATACAGCACTCAACGGTGAGTGCAAGTTGAGAATTACATTAGAAGGAAGAAATCCTATAACAGAAGTGTTCATATGTGGGTCGTTTCATAAATAATGCACAGGTTGGCAACAATGCGGATTAGATGAAGCAACAACAGTGAGCCTCACGTCAGTTACAGTTCAGGGCTTGAGAAAGGAGCGCGTTATTTTGTTTCATTTATAATGTACTCCGTTCTTAAATAACATGAGTTAGAAGTGGAGCCTGCACAGTTCTTGGGTATTGTGACTGTTGAAGATCAAATGTTGTAAATTAAGATCGAAACTTCACGTGGAAAAAAACCAACAGAAATCCACAGTGCTTTAAGTGAAGTTTGTGGCGAGTTAACAGTGGACTGTAGTATAGTTTCTCACTGGGCTTGTCGTTTTCGTGGTGGTCATGTGGGCATAAACGATGATCCAAGGCCAGGAAGGCCGAAAACATCAACAGATGAACGAAGTGTGAAACTTGTGTCAGATGCTCTTGAAGAAGATTGTCGTGCGACATGTGAGGAACTTTCTGAAACCATAGGGATTCCACTAATGTCAATATTCCGAATTCTGAAAAATGATTTAAAGAAGAGAAAGATTTCTGCGCAGTGGGTCCTTCACTGCTTGACTGCTGAAAAGAAGCAAGAACGCCTCGACATTGCAACCTTGCTGAAACAAAGATTCGACGTTGAAGGTCAAGCATTCTTATATCGACTTGACGCTATTGATGAAAAGTGGGTTAGAGACTTTGAACCAGAGTTGAAATCACAGTCCAACAAGTGGAGAGGTCTATGTTCCCCATGACCCAATAAATTACGACGATCTCAATCAAAGGTCAAACAAATGATGATCTTTGCTTATGATCACCAAAAAATCATCATTACAGACAGAGTTTTGTGCGGGAAAAGTGTCACAGCAGTTTATTATCATGACTTTATGCAAAATCTGGGCAGAAAAATGCACAAAAACCGACCTCAGTTGCTCGAGGCTGGGCCAATCATTCTCCGTGACAATGCTCGCCCGCACATCGGGAATGTCGTAACAGCAAAGCTGCGCCAATACAGTTGGGAGGTGTTGCCTCATGCTCCCTAAAGCCCGGACATGAGCCCACCAGACTTCGACTTATTCCCAAAGCTGAAACAATCTATGCGAGGCCGTCATTTTCCCTCCCTGGAAGAGCTTCCTGCTGCAGTTACCCGAGCCATTTGACAAACAGAGATAAACAAAGATGGTGTTCTGGATGGAATAGTAAAGCTTCCCACAGGTTGGGACTCATTGAGAAGCAGGGGAACTATATTGAAGGATTGTAAAGAGATATTAAAAAAAAAATAAATATGGACATAAACAAAAAATTATGTGCATTATTTCTGAAATGACCTACATATATCCTTTAAGAGACGGGCCATTTAAATTCCCGTAATGGCAGCAAGCCGGAGTTAATTTAAATGTCCGCCATTGCAGAGCATTAAAAATTGTAAGCATGTTACTGAAAATGCTGTGNCTGCAGTACAAATGCATGCTGCTGACATCCTGTCTTACTATGTCTTATCTGGCAAAAGGGGAGGAAGTTTATGTTAGTACTGCACATTCTCCAGTCACGTCGGAACCTTTCTGTATGCACAAATGTGAGTGAAGTCTTATCGCACTGTGTATATCTCAGACTAGCCACAAAGAGGTACTGTTCTCGAAACAGCCACCTTGCTTTCTCACCACTTTTAGAGTCGTCTGTACCGCATTCTGAATCGGTGTCATTTATCAGCAGCCTCTCAATTTTGGCTTCTTCCATGCGAAATGAGGCCACGGTGGATAGTTGAAATTGCGATGTTTTATAAGCGTTACAATTAGAGGAGGCCACTCGACATTACTGGCCGACTTCCTCTAATACGAGGCTGAGGTGTCGTGTGTGCTCTTCGCATGCGAAACGGAGTTACATCCAGACAAAGTGCATGAATTGCAACATCGGACTCTGCATTCAGTTAGATGATGCAAGAGGGAAGACTGTCTACTTATAAAGCGGTGCTCAAAAATAATGTAAGTAGAACAAGAATTTCTATCTTAAAATTAGATTTTAAAACACTGTGCACATGCGTGGACTGCGTGTACCCATACGGTGTCACACGGCCACTAGGCTACACTTTAAAGGTCTCCATACGGTGTTGCTAGGCTCTTAAAGGATATTCCATCAGTAGTCACATGACACATGCCATTGGGATACTGAAAATCCATGTTACATTGCACATCCTATTACATGACCAAACTGGTGGTGCCTGGTGTGCCATAAACACTACAAAAATCATAGGTCCCATATGCTTTCAGGGCACAGTTAATTCAGAATGGTATGTGAAAGAAATTCTGGAGCTCTTCTTTGAAGAATTAGCTCTAGAAGAAAAGGGTTACATGTATTTTCTGCAGGATAGGATGTGCCAGCAAATACTGCATAAAATTCAGCATGGGTATTATGGGTTGTTTTTGATGAATGAATAATCTGGAAAGAGTTATGGCTGTCACACACCCCAGACTGAATATGTGATGTATATGTGTGGGGAAACTTGACACAGGAGGTTTAAGGAAACAACCCAAACACTTTAGAAGCCTTACAAAATGAAATGGAGGGTGAACTTCAACACATTACACAATTTAAGCCAATGTAAAATGTGTGCTAATGATGGAGGATACTCTTTCATTAGCTGTTGTAGCATTAGGTAAGTAAAGTAGTTTTATTGCAGGCATTTTTCCAGTGCAAATGGAACTTCCAATTAGGTTGTGTCATAGTCGTTGATTTTCTGCATTCAAATCAAAATTTCCATCCATCCATCCATCCACCTACCAACCCACCCTTAGTGAGGTTACTAGGAAGTACAAACAACCCATATCAGACTTAAGGAAAACCCAGCACTTGGTTGCAAAACCAGGGATTTGGGGTAAACCACGATCTTTTCACTGCAGATACTTCTATGTGGCCATGATCGTTATATAGAGTTTAATTAAAGCTCTACAAAATAAATTATATGAATGTCATCTGAGAAGTCTTACCACACTGGAGGCCAGCGATGTTCACAGAGGTAGTCCTGATTCTCTGGATGAAGGCTTTTGAGAAGTTTTGGTGACATCTTGCACAATTTGTTGTAGTTGGTACAGAGGTGGCTCATGCACCAATCTGCTAGCTGATCTGCATTGTGCAACTACAGACAGATTTTAAGTAAAAATAAGTGTTTCAACATGGTCAAACTATATTATGCAACATACAAGAAGACAGTTTNTACAAACAACCCATATCAGACTTAAGGAAAACCCAGCACTTGGTTGCAAAACCAGGGATTTGGGGTAAACCACGATCTTTTCACTGCAGTTACTTCTATGTGGCCATGATCGTTATACAGAGTTTAATTAAAGCTCTACAAAATAAATTATATGAATGTCATCTGAGAAGTCTTACCACACTGGAGGCCAGCGATGTTCACAGAGGTAGTCCTGATTCTCTGGATGAAGGCTTTTGAGAAGTTTTGGTGACATCTTGCACAGTTTGTTGTAGTTGGTACAGAGGTGGCTCATGCACCAATCTGCTAGCTGATCTGCATTGTGCAACTACAGACAGATTTTAAGTAAAAATAAGTGATTCAACATGGTCAAACTATATTATGCAACATACAAGAAGACAGTTTTCTGCTTCTGTGGCTCCTACACATTGTACAGGTAAAGCCTCAAAATTTCTAGGCGTGAGAAGAAAAGTGGTCAGCTTGTCTCAGAAATAGTTAGGACAAAGAGGTGGAAAAGAATAAAATCACTCCTGTTGAGAATAAATAACATGATCATTCAGCTCGTGGTTACATCATTGATTGACCTATCCTTGCTGAGACAGAAAACAGGAATCAACTAGAGGAAAATATAAGAGAGACAAAAAGTACTTTATCCCACTAAGAATTATGATGTGTAAAAGAGAAGTTTCCTCTATACAAAGGAGAATGTTTAAATGGTACCACCCCTTTAAAAACTATAAGACACACTGCTGACAAACGGTGTAAGTTTCAAAAAAATGTGCTCATCATCTGCATAGTATATCCATTAAAATGATAAGTGCAGTGCATGGTATACTGATAAAAATGGCTCGCTGCTCAAGGAAGGCATGCACTAGATACAAAGCATGACAGTATTAAAAACATCGATGTTAAAAGAAAATAACACCTACTGGTAAACAGATTTATTTGCTACACTATAAAAGAATAAACTATACACTTGCATGTGCAAAACGTACCCATACACATTCATTAACTATGCAAGGTCTTGAAGCATTAATGCTCTAGAAGTGCATTAATATGGTCCCAGTTCAAATCATGGCAAAGTTAATAGTGTTACATACCAAGTTACTTTTGTATAACAAAACATCTTTGATAAAAATAATGAAGTTCATTATTGGTTTCACATATAATGCAGGGGGTCGATTGAAAAGACATGGACAGATATTAAAATCACCTACTACAAAACTGACTCCATGAAGCTGAGTCCTTCTTCAGAAGCCAACAGTCACTCAGCTACTCAATATCTTCCAAACATTTTATGGAAACCAAAGGTTCATAACTGTGTTCGTAAGAGCTTGCTACTGGCCCCTATCCTGAGTCATATTAATCCAATCAATACCACCATACCCTTTTCCTCCAGGATCCATTTTAATATTATTCTACCCATGTCTAAATCTTCCTTGTAGTTTCTTTCCTTCTGGCTTTCCCGCCAAAACCAAGTATGCATTCCTCTTCTCCCTCTGCATGCTACATGCTCTGCCCATCTCAGCCTCCATGACTTGATCATTCTGATTTTATTTTCCAAAGAGTAAAAGTTATGAAGCTCCTCATTATGTAATTTTCTCCAACTTCCTATTGTTTCATCCCTCTCAGGTCCAAGTATTCTCCTCAGCACCCTATTTTCAAACACCATCAGTCTACCTTAATGTTAGACACCAAGTTTCACACCCATATAAAACTACAGGAAAAAAATTATAGTTCTGTATATTGTAATCTTTATGCTTTTAGAGAGCAGGCAAGAAGACAAATGGTTCTGAACTGAATGTAAGCAAGCATTACCCAAATTTAATCTGCTCTTCACTTCTTCAAAAACCAAATTTGCCACATTACTGTTGTTCCCAAACATCTGAACTCTGCCACATTTTCAAAATATCTACCAGGTATCTTTATGTTATGATTCTGCCTTGAATTCTGGTGATGAGATATCAACATATACTTAGCTTTCCCTGTGTTTACTTCATAGACTAACCTCCTTATTAGCATTGATTAGAGCTTCTGTGTCTTTTGTTATGGTATTTATGTTCTCTCCCAACAAATTTACATCATCAGAACAGGCTAGAAGCTGACATATCCTATTCAATTTCAGTCATACGTGGTTTTCTTGGACCTTCTAATAGTATATTCTGATAAAATTTGAAAGGTAATGTCAACAAAGAATCTCCTTTCTTACATCAGTTTTTTAATAAGAAACACATGAGACAAATGTCCATCTAAATGGACTCTACTATTACTTCTAATGGTCATCTGTGATTCCAGAGCTCTGCAAAACTTGAGCAGTTTCAGATATGAAGCACACAGACAGACAAACATTACTTCCCCTTTATACAAATGTTTTATGGATCTGAAAGCAGGAGTGGGCTGTCCACCTGGCCCCACGTCCACCATTAGGTAGGGGGTGTGTTACACCATCAACAACCCCCCAGAAATGCATCCCTCTGATTATATCTGTGGTTGGACTACTGTCCCTGCCTGAACTCTGGCCCACCTACACAAAAACACATAAAAAGTATAAAGCTGGGTTTCATATCTAGTTCAAATGGACAACTGATGCACATATGTTTATAACTGGCACACATGCACACTCAAAGATATCTACACAGACAATATGCAAGAGGCCACAAAAGAGTTTTTCCATTTTGAAAATGACTAATTATGTCCGCCAGCTACCTTGCATGGTTCCAAGAGTCTCAAACAATGCTCCACCACCACATCAGCACCATCTGAACCACAGAGGCGCATCATCTCTTCTACCACACGGCGCTCCACAAGGTTGACCAGACGGGGCAGACACAGGCGGTTGCCCAGCTCAAGCAGGTCGAGGCAACGTGCAGGAGAGATAGCAGGAACATCATCAGTGTACAAGTACACAAGCAGCTTGTGGAATGTGTCCTCACGAACACCTGGGAACAGGATCTGGCACCAATTGCTACAGTGAGGTCTACTATTGTTTTCAAATAAAATATAGTGGCAAGTATACTTATTTTTCAAACACAGTCCTTCGTGAAGAGTTCTGTCTTAAGGGATATAACACCAGGTAGTCTGTTTAAAGTCAAATGACATTTCGAAAGAACATGTCACCTCCATCTCCAGGGTCAAAGAATAAGCCAAGCAAGAATCCAACATGAAGTAGATAGCAAGCAGAGATTCATGCTGGTTTCTTGCTTGGTTCATTCTTCAACCCTGAAGATGGAGGTGGCATGTTCCTCTGAAACGCTGGCTGATATTCAACAGACTACATGACATTATATCTCAAAAGAAAGCATCTTCATAATCACTGCTGCTGAGAACCTCAAATCCTACACATTACTGTGTGTTTCTGCATATCACCCTGATGTGCATACTGAAAATACAAATCTGCTGTTAGAAAGCTAATTAGACACAGAAACTTCTTTATTTCAGTAGACTTCACTGGCCTGGAATTCACTACGATACCAGCACACGTGCAAGGTCCAGATGTCTGAGCAGTGTATCCTTCCATATAAACATTGTTACAGTCTGGTCCCAAGTTCCATAACACAGAAGGATTCAAAATTCCCTGTTTCAAGAAGATACAGTTTAAATATTCAGAATAATGAAAAATGTTACAAATTGAGGTTTTAGATCAGAATGAGATCTACATTTTATGTCACACTTGTCTTTACATATGTTCAGATGCTTCTGTCTATTCATTCACCATTTATTTAATGTCGCTGTCAACAACTCAGATTATAAAGCAATGAATGATAGGAGGAGTTGTGAAGGATGAACTGTAATGGATGCAGAAGGATGATGCCTAATTTGAAGCATTACCTCAACATTTACATAGAGGAAATGAGGAAACCCATAAAAAACGTCAATCAGGATTGTGTTCTGNAGAACCTCAAATCCTACACATTACTGTGTGTTTCTGCATATCACCCTGATGTGCATACTGAAAATACAAATCTGCTGTTAGAAAGCTAATTAGACACAGAAACTTCTTTATTTCAGTAGACTTCACTGGCCTGGAATTCACTACGATACCAGCACACGTGCAAGGTCCAGATGTCTGAGCAGTGTATCCTTCCATATAAACATTGTTACAGTCTGGTCCCAAGTTCCATAACACAGAAGGATTCAAAATTCCCTGTTTCAAGAAGATACAGTTTAAATATTCAGAATAATGAAAAATGTTACAAATTGAGGTTTTAGATCAGAATGAGATCTACATTTTATGTCACACTTGTCTTTACATATGTTCAGATGCTTCTGTCTATTCATTCACCTTGTATTTAATGTCGCTGTCAACAACTCAGATTATAAAGCAATGAATGATAGGAGGAGTTGTGAAGGATGAACTGTAATGGATGCAGAAGGATGATGCCTAATTTGAAGCATTACCTCAACATTTACATAGAGGAAATGAGGAAACCCATAAAAAACGTCAATCAGTACTGTGTTCTGGTCAAGATTCAAACCAAACATCTCCAGACCACAAGTAAGAAGTAATGCATTACACTGAAGTGCAAGTTGAATCACAATGCACCTGTAAAGCTAAACAACATACTCCACAAACAAGACTGTATGACTTCATTCTGTTTCCCTAATCTTGAACAGTGAAAGACTTTGTGATGTGGAAATGAACTGAACAGAGCAGATGTGTTATTCCATAACCAAGTTTGACAAGTTTTATTGGCAGTGGCAGAAATGGTGGAACAAGTATGTCTGCATGGGGATTAATGTTGCAGCCATACAAGTACACAATTATAGTATCCACATAAATTATTGTTCATAGTTTTTGATCAGACCTCATAAATTTCACACAAAATTATACAAATATCATTTTATAGACTAAATAGAAATTGGTCCAGATGTACATATACTTTAAAAGAAGCCATCAAGAACGCAAAAATTTGCAACAGAATCATCATGTACAACAATTCAATTAAAATATTTTAAAATGTTGTTACCTGGGAACAACAACAACGCCAACAAAAAGAAACATAAACTGTTACATTGTGATATTAGGAAAAAAATAAATCCAGGAATTGTTTGCTCTTATTCAATTCAAAACTTGCTACCAGTGTGTCTACTTTTTAGAACACTACAGAACAAGACAAATAAAACAAGTCATTCATTTGTTTTCTATAGCTCCAAGATGTGAGTCCTCTTTCCTTTCAGATAAGAACATAAATTACAAGTATTCAAAAAAAAGTGCTTNAATATAATTATATAATAACAAATTTCACAATATGTACAGGGCAGTTGATACTGTTAGGGTACTGAACTGCAGAAAGTTATGATAGGCAGGTAATGTAGCTTGGATGGCGAAAACAAGAAATGGATACAGAATTCTTTTTGGTCAAACCACTTGGAAAGTGTCTACTACAGGGTTAATGTAAGGAAGATTAGAGATTGAAAAGAACTTACAACTTTAGCACTGCTCTCTCGGAAGTCTCCAGAAAACATAGCCTTCATCATGTCACAGCGAGCCATCAGCATTGGCCGATGGGCTGAAAATGAGCCATCATCCAACTGGAACACTATATCGGAGAAAAGTCCCTGTCCCAAGCACAAATCCTGGAGTCGCTGCCTCACCGCCTGTAGGAAAATAGTGACTAGCACTGTGTTTCGTGAACTGGCAAAAAGTCATTCACACTGTTAACACAAAGATGTTCTTCCATGAAGAAAATATTAAAAAAAAAAACAAATTTACATATATAAAGTGAAGAAAGTGACCAATACACTGGCTCCTTGGTGCTCTGGTGTCAAAGCCCAGTGATTGGTTACACTTCATTTCCTGCCTTACGACACTAACCAGCATTAGAATGTTCAAAGCAATGTTGCAAATGTTGGTCTTTTGATTTTGGAGTTTACAGTGAACAGTGCACAGACTCTGTGAGCTGACCATACATCTCCAGAGTGAGGAACTGATTTGGTTCAACTCTCGTGGGAGTTCATGGGGGAGTGATGGACATAAGGCATCTGCCCACCACTCTGGATTTCAAAAATGAAGAAAAGGAGGAAATATATGAAATAAAAAAAATTTAAATGTATTCTTCTATCATAAATACTCAAGGATAACAAAAGCAGTCCTAAACAGTTTCAACTTAAGTTTGTAAGCAAATTTTCTGGTTACGGCTCGAGTTGCATGTTTGTCACTTTATCCTTCACAAATAGCCCCATTATCCACTGGACAGGAGGCTGGGTTGATCTCAGAGCTGGAGAATCAAGCTCCAATTGTCTTGACTTATAGCCAGTCAACTGCAGTGGCTGAGCTGTCCCAGCTCTACCTCACAGCAGAAAATGTTTCAAATTTTAATCAAGTCTATGTTTAATTTTATCAAGCCATTTTTTTGTTTGGAACAGTATTCCAGAGAATATTTATGTATAACGAAGCTTTATTATTATGTGCTCATTTTTCAGATTTCATGCAAATAATACATGACTAATTTTCATCCTTTGCTATCCAGTAGTCTGTACACAGGTCATTTTATTTCCTTCTTATAGTACATCTCTACATCAGCATTAAGGAAAGAAAGTGAGATAGTATGAAAGCATGTTTGCATACAATGATACAGCATATGGGGTGATTAACACACCACATACATTTGCTCACTGTTCTTGTATTTAATTTGATTTTGGTGTACCCAATTATCTCTCCTCTCCTCACCTTGCGGTACTGTTGTTTGAGATCTGTGTTCAGGAACTCCTCATGAGACTGAATATTGCTCACAAAAACTAGGAGCTCAGGAAGGTCTAGGAATTCTGCTGCCTGCCTTATCTCCTGCAGAAACAATGCAAAATCATGCTCATTTTATACTAAAACAAAGTAAAGTACAACTGATAAAATTATTTGACTGAATTAACTGAAAATATCAGGCTGGTTCAAAATAAAAAGTGGAAAACAAGTATACATACACAGAGGATCAGATGAACAGAAATGTTTCAAGAAATTACCTTCTCATATTTTATCATACATCATAATGCAGTAAATTATGCTCAGGCTTTGCAGCTGACATGTCACTGATTGGAATCCTGTTACTCTATTGATTTCTCATCTGTTGCTTCAGCAAATAATTGTGTGCTACTGTAATGCAGGTCACACTTCCATTAAGATCATTCTCTCTTCTTCATCAATGTTGCTTGACTGAGTAATGGTTCTAAAGTTTACCAGACTGTACTGGCTGTGACTATCAGCAAATAATCAGTTCAAAATAAAACTTAAACCTAGAAGTTTCATGGTGATGTCTCCTCTGCAGCAACAGGGCTATTCTTTAATTGAGCAGTGGCAGTTCCTTCATACCAGATATAATGTTTGAACTGCCATGGTATTGCACATACTACAGACAAAATGGATGTGACAGTTTTAAAATTACTTGATTCTTCAGCTTCATCTTACTCCTGGGCAATGCACATGGTATTCTTTAGACAGGAGGCTGGAAGGGTCCTGGAGCCAGTACGTACTATGTAAAAAGAGAGTAAATTCTCTTGCCTCTAGTGGGAATTGAACCCTGACTCCTTTGTCATCCAGTTTGTAGCCTACTTGCTATACTAACTGACCTAACCCAGCTTCTGATATAATGGTTATAATGCAATGTCCCGATTATATGTCAGTTACCCGTTGTTTGCATGATGTAACCTGTTCACATAACATACTGTATACGTTAAGCCAAGCATAAAAGTTTCAAAGGGAGTCTTGGTGCTGTGAAGTTGACACTACAATCAAAACTTAAATTACTGGAAAATATAATTTGTGAACTGTTTCAGGTTTCTGGTAAATCTTCTGTAAAATGAAAACAGTATCAATACACATTAAGTACATGATGGTTTCAGTACTGGATTGCAATAAAATGACAGAATTTAAGGAACCAATTTGCTAGGAGACTTAGAAGCAATGAAACACAGCAAAGATGATAGATCATCTTTCTGTTTTGACAAAGGGTATAAGGAAAACAATCTTATCACCTAAGATTTAATGAACCTTCTGAAATATATAACAATAATTTGTATTATTTAAACTGTTTAGTTTGAGTAATACACAGTTTTAACTAGAATATTTAGGATATTTTTATTAAAGGAAAACTAACACACAAACCAAATAATTTTTATAGTATCAATTAAGCTACAATAACTTAATCATTCTTATGTATAAGATGAAAATAACTGTATCCTCCAATGATGATGAAAGTGATTTGAAATATGACATGACTACGAGTGGCCATGCAAACAGCTTCAGAACAGTTACAACTTAATGGAAACAATAACAATATTATGATGACAAATAAAACACCAATGCAAATGCAAACCCAACAACAAAAGAATGAAGACAAGAAATTCACAAAATTAAAAATAAAAAGCTCCTTGATTTTGAGTTTCTACATGATTGCAGATTTCTTGTGTATGTTGACACTGTGTTGTGGCAGACTCTTAGCAACACTGTCCATAATATACTAGTCTCAATCTTAAAGGTAAAGTGACTGAAAGAAGAAAGAGTATCCCTATTTACATCATGCCTACTAAAAAATTTAGTTTTCTGATTAGTGGATAACAGATAAATAGTTATTAAGCACCATGCCATGAAGATGTAGGGGAGGGTGGAGGTGAAGCTCCACCATTCTTGACCTCAGCACTAGGAGGTAAGTGGTCAGTTTCATACCATTGCTACTTTATTCCCTGGGAAAGAGCCCACAGTACCCATTGGACAGGAAGATGGTTGGGTCCCACAGCTGGTCTGGACACTATGGCAAAGAGAAAAATCTTTACCCTGCCAGGAATCAAAGCCTGGCCATCCAGGCCACAGCCCATCACAATACCAACTGAGCTATCATATGTGGTACAGTCATTAATTTCGTGGACTGTGGTTTTATCGCATCATATTACAAGGTATTCACATACACTTACACAGATCCACACCGACCCTCAAAATAGCTGCCGTTAGCCACTATGCAAGTCTGCCAACATTGATATAGCTGTCAAAAACACTGCTGGAACATATTGGCGGGAAATTCCCATAAGGCATCTCTTGTGGCAATGACGACCTCCTCGGACGACTGCAATCTACGACCATGTAGCTTTGCTTTCAAGCAGTGAAAGAGAAAGAAATTGCATGGTGCAAGATCAGTTGAGTACGGAGGGTGTGGCAAAACGGTGACGTGTTGCCTTGCCAGTTCCTCTTGGACAGGAACAGAGCGATGTGCAGGGGCGTTGTCATGTAGCAACAGCCAATTCTTCCTATGCCAATTGTTTCTGGCAGAACTTGATGTTTGCCCGTTCTTCAAACTGCCACATTTCCAACTTCCGCCACTTGCATGTAACTGCAGTTCACAATAGAGGCCGTAGTTCTGCTTACACTGTTTGCACATAACTGCCTCTTGCTGTGACGAGAAACTAACAGGGCATCATATTGTGCCTCAACCTATCTGCTGTAGTGCACTGCAACAACGCTTTGTGGCCAGTCCACGAAATTATTTGCTTTGGCAGTATAAATAAACATGTGTGTGTCTGTTTGTGTGTGTGTGTGTGTGTGTGCGCGCACACGCATATCACTCTGAGGTGGGAACTACACTAGTTGCTCTAATGTTGGATCTGAAATTTTGTGTGTAGATAATAGGTCATCAAAAATACATGACTTTTGTTGAGACTGTATATATGCTGTGTTGCGGATGGCCAAAGCATTGCTAGGTAACGGACCTGTAAATACCCCATAACCGAATACACACAAGGCAATAATTGAAGAATCGCTGTTTCTATGCAACGACCTGTAAACAACATTCAGCTGAGTGTGTTACAACAACAGGAGTCAAGAATGAAAGATGTTTTCTATGTGGTCCATGTGAAGCTTATACAACGAACATCTGTTATAGCTCAGGCTGGAGTGAGAGACTACTGCAGTGTGCAGAGTGCTGATAAGAGAAGTGAATGCAGTTCAGTTCAGTAGTTGATGTGTGAACCTTGAGAGTGTTATAATTGTTTGTGTGTCATAGATACAGCAATTGTGAAAGTGTAATAATGAATTGTAATTACAATTTTTTAAATTATCCAATAAATCAAGTTATCAAATCCAGAACCGATTATTTACTGTCACATTACCAGAATACATGTGGCAATATATATAAAATAATACATGATAAATAAACTCAACAAAAGTCATGTATTTTTGATGACCTATTACCACACAAAATTTCAGATCCAACATTAGGGAAACTAGTGTAGCTCCCACCTCAGAGTGACATGAC